AATATTAAATAAAAATATTAAATAAAAATATTAAATAAAAATATTTAATAAAAAATATTTAATAAAAAATAGAGAATTGCTATTCTCACAGTAACTTTGCTAATCTCACGGTAATTAGCACCCTTTGGCCGCGCTGGCGCGGGAGCTAGCCGCTTTAGTACTAGTAAGTAAAAAGGCCGTCACTAAGCCTATTTAGGTTCCGCCTTTTAGGTAATAGGGTTTGCCTGTAGAAAACTCAGCGCGCATAAATATTTATAAATTTTAATCCTTATATAAAAATTAACATTTTAAACTTAACTAAATACAGGCAAGGTCCAACTTTTAGATGGCCACGTGTACTAACTAATAAAAACACATTATTTAAAATATAAATCCCTACTCCTTCCGCTGCGCTGTGCTTAACTGCAAACGCTTGCTTTAATAAAAACAGGAAACCTTAATAAATATTTTTATGGTGTTAAGCTTGGCAATAGGGCTACTAGTACTAATTAGGTTTAATTTATGGCTATAAAGCGGCTGGCTGCAAAACTAGTATAAATATGGCTAGTGGTGGCAGTGCGCGCGGCCAAAGGGCGCTAATTACCGTGAGATTAGCAAAGTTACCGTGAGAATAGCAATTCTCAAAAAATATTGAATAAAAAATATTAAATAAAAAATATCAAATAAAAAATATTATATAAAAAAATTAAATAAAAAATTAAATAAAAAATTAAATAAAAAATTAAATAAAAAATTAAATAAAAATATTAATTTGAAAATAATTAAAATAATTATAGGGCTAATTTTAGCATATAATTTAATTATTTATTTTATTTTATTTTTTACTTTAATTAACTTTAAAYTTAGCTAGCTTTTATAAAGAAAATAGCTTAAATATAAATAGTATATATATTTATTAATAAAATTAAAATTAAATAAAATAAATAATTAAATTATAAGTTAGAATTATTACTTATAAATTAATAAATAAATTATTCTTAAAAGGTCTTATACTTATATTATAACTAAAATATAGTATAACTTAAATTTATTTAATAAAATATTTTTTTATATTTATTTTTAAATATTATTTTAAAACTAATATTATTATCCTACTTAAAAAGGTTAATAGCTATTAAATTAGTTTTATAAATTAAGAAATTAAGAGATTTATTATTAAAATTAATAAAAATTTATAATATTTTTAAGGAAATTTCTATTTTTTAGTATTATACTAGTATTAAAAATATAATATAATTTTAAAAGGTAAAATATAAAAAATAATTATAATTTATAGCTAAGTTTTTTAATATAAAATTTATTATAAAAATTTATAAATTATAATTATTTTATTAAAAATAGTTAGTAATATTTTATAAAATTTTATAATTATTTTTTATGTTTTTAAGGCCTTATTTATTTTATTTTATTATATTTTTTATATTACTATATATACTTAATATAAGAATTAAGGTTTTATATGATTTCTATAATTTATATATTTAATTAAATTTATTAAATTTATTAAATTTATCCAATTTATTAAATTTATCCAATTTATCAATTTTATTTATTTTATTTATTTTATTTATTTTATTTATTTTATTTATTTTATTTATTTTATTTATTTTATTTATTTTATTTATTTTATTTATTTTATATAGATAAAAAATTAGTCATACCTATTTTTAAAAACTAGCCTATTTAGGAAAGCCTAAGAGGTTTTAAAAACTATTTTTAGTTAATAAAAAGTTATTTTTTTTATTTTTCTTTCTATTTAACCTAAGCTTTTTATTATATTTAGTAATAATAGACCTATATAGTCTAGTGGTATAGATTATTATATAATTTAAATAAGCTAGGGGTTTAATCCCCTTTATAAGTTAAAATAATTAATTTATTTATTAGTTTAAACACGTGACTTACTATTAAATTAAATAAATAATAATAAACTTTATATAACTAGTTAATATTATATCTTCAATTAATACTAGTAGTAAATATAATAATAAAATATATATTAAGGGAATCACGTGACCTACAAAATATTTTATTATTTTTTTTTAAATTTTATAAAACATTAAGTTTTTGAATATATATTATTATATTATAATATATATTACGCTTACTAATACATTTTTTTATTAATATATATTACTATAAATATAAATAATTTTATAATAATTTGTATTATTACTAAATATATATTAAATTTAATAATTTAAATCTTTTTTAATGTGACTTTTTGACTATATTAAGCTCTGATATGTATCAGCCGGCTGATACAAATGTGGGCGTGCTGATACGGTATCACAAACCCCCCCCCCCAGCGCCTGCATGGCTGGGGCTGCTTGTCGTCTGCAAGGGTATCCTGGGCCTGATGCACACTGATGGTTGCCATTCACGAGCAGAGGATAATAGGCATTCCGTAGGATGCCGGACCGTATTGGGAACTTCCAGGGTGAAGAGAGTAGGTTGCCGCGTTCCCAGCGAGTAGGAGCAGCTGTTATGAGAGCAGAAACTGCGAAATATCCGTACTGTACTATAGGTTATGGAGCCGAGGACGAGGTAAGGAGCTAGACCGTTCATCCTAGTCACCGGCTCAGTGCACTGAATAACGCATATAACATTCAAGCTACATCTAAAGACAGAAGGAGCGACTAGATGTTCTCGATGTGGTTATTATGTGTCTAGTGACGGACACATCCCCCCCTGCCCTTAATCCAGGAAAACAAGAACGTCAAAAGCCACCTGCAACTTTCCGTTTCACCACTAACCCCAGCACACACCCTGGATGTCGTAGCGGCGACAGGGACGAGGACCCCACGGCCCGGGGCAGAGACACGGCCGCCAACAAACAGAGTCCAGGGAGCAACCTAAGACGAACACTGAACGTCGGTCACCGAGTCAGGGAGCTCCCTGTCGTTGCTTTCGGGGTACAGTAAGCCCACAAGGAGGTCATCGCTGCATCTATTCGCACCAGATCTGCACGGCGTGGGCAAGACATGGTCAGCAACGCGACACGGGCAGTTACAGATAGCAGGGAACACGGGTATCCATGCACGCGATAACGACGGCACGTGCTGGGAATCAATAGAGGAAATCGCGAGACATACTTGTAGAAAAGGCACGAGAAGTATTTCGAGCCGTCGATGTCCTCGGGGCCAATGGCGCCCTGGACTCGTGCGGGGGCCATGCCACTGGTGTAGGAAGGCTTTTAGTACGGTCTTGGTTCGAGGCATCCGGGTCTGGGTACCCAAACTGCATGCTGCAGATGGGTACTCGACCCTGGAGAATAGTGTTGGGGCTTTATGTATGTAGGTGCGGGTGGGGGGTAAGGTACGTACTCGATGACGGGAAGATTCAAGCACATTCTACGTGGGACAGCAAACGTAACGTTCAATGGGCCACACGGCCCGCCTTCGTAAAGCGTGGTCTATTAGGAGTATGTCAGAGTCTTGACCTGTTCTGCTGGCTGGTGTTGGGACAAGAGGGCTGTTGGGAAGGTACCAGCTGCACGGCCGGGACGCCGGAGACCAGGAGAGCCAGAAGGGGCAGCAGGCGAGTCGGAGCCATGGCTGGGCGTTGAATGATCAAGACTTGGAGAAAGCCCGGTTGTGGAGGATGGATAACAGTGGGTGAGTTTCGCCTAGAGTATCACGATCAATGGGTAGAGAATTCGATGCGACGACGACGAACGGACGAAGGAAGGGAGCCTGACTGCTATTTAAGCACAAGTCTCGCCTGATCTGGTGATCCCCAAGTGTAAGACACAGCTGGGGCTTACCACTTCGGCCCTCTTTCCTTTTGCCGGCAACAATGGGATACTCTTGGCTTGGTGGCCTCCGAGCTGAGGCCATTGGATCGGAATGAGAATGGCTGGCCAACGGAGGGTGCCCATTTCGCCTGCCCGTCTTATCCTCGGTGAGTTTTATGACAGCGCTTAGTGGGTGGACAGGGGGGCTGCGGGCTGCATGGGTCGCTGCTTAGGGCTTACTCCGCACGGTCTTGGTAGCCTTTCGTAGAGCTTTGGCCCTGTCTTCGGCTGGGTTCTCATCCCAGAAAGTCTTCACGGAATTGAGAGCTTCATTGGTGAAAGATCAGATCCCTTCTGTTTGTTCACGCAGGAAGGCCCTCGTCATGGCTGGTTCGTGGGGTGTTCACCACCTGCCCGTAAAGCCCGTAGTAAGACGCCTGAAACGCCATCTGGATGAAGGCGTCCGGTGAGAATCCCACCGATGTGATGAAGTATTTTTCGCATCCGGGGATTGAAGAATTATGGATAATAGAGTTCCTGCAGACCCGGAATGTTGGGATAATCGGGGATTGCGATAATTGGGGGAAATGCATGAATGTGCAACATGAACAAGTTCACCTCCTATTTTGGGTTGCACAGCCACCCTATAAAGTTCAGTAGTGTCATGGACAACATCTTACCTAAATTCAGCACGTCAAGTCTGGGATTATGCTGCACCAGGCTGGGAAGGAGTGTACGTGCCATAAGCGAGGCTGCGGATGATTTTCCAGCGCGATGTAGCATCCATGTCCATGCGGCATGAAGCCCTATTGATTGTTCCAGCGGGTTGTTGGTCCTAGACTCCCCATGGCTAAGGGCTAGCTAAGGATATCCCTCTTAGGTTCAGGCATGAATAAAGGGACCTCGGGAGAATGGAGTCTAAGCGCAACAAGAGTGGAACATATGGATTACCAAGTAGCATTAAAACCGCATCGCAACGTAACATATGTTTTTATCATTTTCTTGGGGCACATAGACAATACAGCTCTCCCGAAATACGCTTCAACACAATGGGCCAAGGCAGTTGGGCCATTCATCGGCTTCCTTCCTCTCCCTTGCATACCTACCGATGGTGCAGCAATGGTAAACAGACACAAACAGGCGCAAAGGCAGAGGCAGGAAAACGATATTCTCCGAAACGCACTACAGTAAATCTTCGCGTCCACTTTAAGTAATGCACAAAATGGCGTAGGCACCTGGGGCCCTGAGCACCACGCGAGGTATGGAAGACGACACCAGACCAACAAATTGTTGGTCATCTGTGCATACGGGGTCGCTGATAACCAAAAGGAAAAGCAGCAGATTAGCATGTATACATAGGTAGGCTTGGTTTCGGCTCCCACCTCGCGCCCCGGCTAGCCAGTGTATATAGCCGATGGAGGTGGGCAGGAAAGAGAAGGTACGTACGGTAGGAGCGCGCAATTGAAATCGGATGCACCTTCATCTTCGGGGCCAAGCGCTGCCTGGACCACCTCAACTGGAAACAAGCTGGAAATTGCCATTTAGCCACCGTGCTTCAGATCCATAAGCGCGCGTAGTCTGGCGCCAATGGCTCTAGGGCTAGGGTAGGTGTACGTACGTGGAATTGGTGGTGGTGAAACATTGTTCGTTTGTGATAGTCAGAGTCCCACACTGGCCGGCAGCATTCATGACAGTCTGGCCATTTCGCTTCATGTCAGGCATTTGGCTCGAGGGTAGGAGGTGGCTGCACGTACCACTTGGACTGCAAGAGTGGTCGGCGCAACAAGCGCCAGGACTGGCAGCAGGGTCACGGCTGGGTGTCTCATGGTGGGGATATGAGAGCAATTGGGCTTATGGATCTGTTGTGGACACCGGAAGGCTAGCAAGTGTGGGCTACGAGGAATGAGAGCTTGAGCACCTCCAGAGGGGAGACCCTACGGGTATTTATGTACATGAGCGGGATAGAGACCGGGGTAGTCGGAAAGCTGCGTTTTGATGTGCCTTTCTTTTCCCAGCATGCCGGAGTCTTGGTATACTAGGGTATCCTACCTATGAGAAGTGCGTCGGTGAGAAAAGCACTACAGGTGATCAATACTTGCTTTTGATGCTTATCCTCCGATTGCTGCATTCAGGGGCCAGGTTGACGATTGTCTAATGAGCTGACTGGGACAGGCGCATAAGCAAAATGAAATTGCGGAAGGTAGAGGGTTCAGCGAGGCAGAGTAGTAGGAGAAAGGAAAGTCAAGCCATGGAAAACTACTAGGCAATGCTTTGCAACCTTGATGTGTATTTGTACATCAACGCTCTGCTACCATGCCATCACCACTAGGCCCAACCTGAGCTTCGAAATGGACTTACAGGACACTCCTTTTGCCAGACCTGATATGAGCTATTTGCTTACGTATATACCCCACGCCTTTGCGGGGATGGAACCATGAGGTTTAAGAGACCCATTGGCCCGAGGCGAGGCATCCGCTGAACATCGATGGGTAATGCCAAACTAAGATTATATGTTATTATCATCCAATAGCATGCGGAAATCTCGAACTAGTTATCGATTGTGATGATGGAGGACTGTCCGTGACCCTGCCTAGGTAGTGAGGCATCCTGAGCAATGGAGGTCCTTCAATTCCATTTTAGGCTCCAGAAGGTAGGCCGTCTGTTCAAACCAGGGTCTCGGTGATGAAAGCTTGGAGATTGAGGGTAGGGTATCTTAAGTTGGCGTCGGGATGAAGCTATTCCGACAGTGCTGGCTACCCAAGGCCTACAATGCTCCATCACATGTGCCGCTTCCCCTTTAAATTCTTCCAGGTTATTGCAGGTGGCTTCTCTATATTCTGCCCGGATTTCTTGTTTGCTTAAGAGTCTTCTTTGCAAACCAGCGCTGGGACGTGAATAACCAGATCGCGTGTCTTCCTAGTACCGACTATATATTCGCGAATGCCTTCGCCCATCCAACGCCCATCCCGTCGTACAAGGTCCTGTGATTGAAGCTGAGGCTGAGTTTTTGTCCGAGGATGAGGGAGGAACAACTGCCTGCCCAGGTGCCTGGCGTTATCCCAGCGCTGTCATGGCCTCCGGATTCTTTGGATCGTTAATCCTTCTCTTCATCTTCTCTCCAGACTCAAAGGGACTTGCTTATGGCTATCCATCTTGCCCCGCATAGAAACCCCGAACCGCATGTCGCGCGAATTCTATATCGCTGCTCTCCATGCGTCCGCACACCCGAGCAGAGTTCCAAGCCGCAATCGTATGCGCCCTCCCCACGAAACCGACCCGGTCAAAGCCCTTTTCGACAAGATCTATGACTACGGTCATTCCTACGGGAAGCAGGTCGGAGATGCAATGCCTCCATGAACGGTCGGATTGGTCAGCATAACATCCTACATATGCGCCTGGCATGGGCAAAGGAAGGTCTGCTAATATTGCCTCGGGGGTCAGAATTAGTTACCCTGGCATTGGGCTTGCTCTTATCATCAGGATGTGCCATGATTCACGGCGCTGAGATCGTTCTTAGATATCTCGTCATCAATAATAGCGTGGTAGAATACATCTATGGCAGGTAATACCCCGATGGGTTCAGGCAGAGGAGGAGGCGAAGGACACACTGGGGCGGTTGGATAGGGAAACCAGGTCTATTTTCGCTCTGTGGTGACGAGCGATGTGCGTACCTGGTTCTATCTTTGGACGTTTGGAACGAACCGGCCCGGGCCGCTGTGGGAGTATCCGGACAGCGACAAAGATTACTCTTCAAGACCTCTTTTGGAAGCGAGGATCACCTGGACGAGATGAAGGGCCTCCATGCCAGCTGGCGACACTTCATGGGTGTTTGGAGTGAGAAGGAGGGGTCACAAAGAAAGCTGTCTATCACCATCAACTCGACCAGGCGATTGCCGTGCCTTCTGTCTGTATCGAAACGGCCAGGGAGAATATGCCGTGTGATTCATGAAGGATGTTTTGACTTGAAAAGACATTTTCCGAACATTGCAGGCCAGGCATTGAATAAGGGAAGCCGGGTGTTGGGGGTCGATACTACGAATGTTACTGCGGCGGGCAGAAGTTCCATCCGTGGATAAAGGATAGTTGGGATCCGCAAGACGAGAACCTTGGACTCAAGGAAAGTAGATGCGGGCTACTGAGAGAGTCTTACTGTTGGATCTCTGACCATTCCGTGTTGTAGAGACGAAACGATCAGCGAAGCTGGATTCTTTGCCTAGGACGCAGTCGATCCCCAAGGTCGGGTTTCCGCCAGGGTCGGTTCATCCTGAGAAAAAGAAAAAGAAAAAAAAAAGTTCGTGATGGGCGTTATTGATGAACTGGCAAAGGAAGCCGCCCGATCCTGGTTTCTCTGAGCAATGCTGGCTCGGTCTCCACAGTCTGATGGATCACTGCTTGCCACGTCGCCAGCAAGACCAGTGGTGGCAGATGCAGGAGGCTGTATTCGGTATCTGCACTCCGATCGGCTTTTGACCGTACATCCCGATTCCAACACCTGCGGCATCTCCAGCCGAATACCGGTGGTCCTTCTGGATTGCATGCAGCGAGTTCGCTAGCTTGCTGCATCGGCGCCTTCCAGATCTGGTGTACCGGGATGTACCACCAGCACCGATTGGCTGGCGGGATTTCCCTTTCAATCGTCAATAAATACGATCTAGACCACGCAATGCCAAACTTTGGAGAAGACGTGGAATTTCCCAAAGTGCTCGATGCAAGTCTGCGAGACACGTGGCAGGCTTTCGGTGGGCTTGTGTTTAGCAGGCATGAGAGCCGGCCTGCTTGGGTGGAAGCCAGGAGTTCCCTGCTGGGGTGAGGTGGTTTCCCAGTGGAAAGAGAACTTTTGGTCGGGCTTGCTCAAACCTCACGATTCCAGTCTGCTCTTGCCTTTTGCTTCCACAGTCTTGACGGTCAGCCACAGAGGGAGATGTTTGCCTCAGGTGTTAAGGCATAAACTCTGTGCAAAGTTCTTCCAATCACACTGTATCATGTGACTAGTCACGTGCACCACCAATCATGCTGCACCATGTGACCTATCACGTGGATCAGAAGTGCACGTGCCCGGGGCGACCTCTCGGGGATTCTTCCTACCTTCCCCTTTTATCCCCAAGCGTTTTTGCATTGGATGTCTCATCGTGTGCTGTCTTCCCTTGATCCTTACTCTCTCTGGCACGAGCATACTGCCATGGTTGCAATGGCCTATATGGGCCTCTCTCTGGCACCTCACTTCGTCCATTTCTAGTTTTGTTTTCTGGCCGCTTAGACGCTTGTTCCTTTCTCACGCTTCAACAGCAACAATAGAAGGTCATCAGCGACGGGCTGACGAAGAGCGATTGCAGTCCCCACAGGACGAGGACGCTGCCTGCTCTTACAGAGAAGGTTCTCACCGAGTCACCGTCATTATTCGACAAGCCACCCAACGCCCAGAGAACCACAAGCTCTTGATCATTGGTATCTATGCCGAAGTATACCTCGTGGGAAACAAGGTTATCAGGAAGCTTCCCCGCAGCGAGATGGGCTGGGGGTGGAGGCTGACTGCCGCTCCTGACCAAATAATGCAACGCAGAGACCCGTTGATAGTGGAAGGATGCACGAGCTCAAGTTCTGCAGCATGGATGCTCCTGCATCTGCCATTTACCAGCAACCGGGCAGCTGTGACATGCTCTCCTCGGCCCTATCATGGTTACCCATGACAGTGAAGAAGACACGCAACCAATCATCCGCGAGGCTATGGTCTACGAGATCCTCGGCGCTCATCCGCGGATTGCCGAATGGCTCTCCAGAGGCAGATCCGACTTCGTCGACATTAAGTACTACCCGCGTGGCGACCTTGCGAGTTATAGCCAGAGAAATACCATCACCGCCGAACTCCAGTCAAAGTGGTTCCAGCAGATCCTAGAAGCTGTCGTTGCTAGCCACAGCCATGGCGTCATCCACTCCGATCTCGCCCTGCGCCAGTTCTTCGTGGACGACGCATTAAACGTACGACTGGGCGACTTCAACTCTTCTCAGTGCCCGGGCCACCCAGCACTAGGCTACGAGAAAGCCTCACACTGCCTGCCCCGGGATTACGACCTTCCCAACACTGAAGCCTCCGATGTCTTTGCGTTGGGCTCGACGCTCTACGAGCTCGTTGCTGGACACGCACCCTATAGCGAACTTGCGGGGCCGCGTTCCGATGATCCCGATGTGATCAAGGCGCAGATCAGACGGCAGCACGTTGTAGACCGTGAGATTGAGTCTCGGTATAGGAACCAAGTCTTCCCGGATGTCTCTGGGTTGTTTGGCGGAGGAATCATATTGGGTTGCTGGAGAGGCGAGTTTCAGAACGCGAAAGAGGCGCTTGATCGGTATGTAGATGGGCTGTAGGTTGCTGGCTGGGATTGCGTTGCATTTGAACGGGCGACCGTCGAGGAGTCGATTGTGGGCGTCCGATTCTCGCCTTTGCCGGATAGCCGCAGCCTTATCATCGTATCCTGTCATCGTCAGATGATCATCGCTCAGGGATACAGCCGCCGAAAGCCTCCTGAAGAGACGTGCAGCTGGGCATCGTCGACAATACTTTCCGCATACGGCCGGCTTCTGGTGAAAGGTTCTGACATCAACACTCTGCGACTGTGAGATAGAACGCCATTGCAGACAGGAAGATCGGGAGCAGTGGATCTAAGCATGGCACTTGGCGACTTTGGAATACAGAGAGCCCGCATTGGCTCTCACTCTTACCCATAAAGCCAGCCGTGACCTGCTTCTCGGATGGCCGCATCATGCCAGCTTTCGTGCCACCGCTCCTTCGCCATACACGAAGCCTCTTCAGGGGCCTGGAAAGAAACACTTCTGGTCTGGGTCCAAAGTGTTGAATATTTCATTGATGGCCACGCTTTTAATATATTCGCCTACCATATCCCTCCTGTGTTGGCTATCAAGAAACCACGGCTTCTAATCTCTTTACTGCTGGGTCACCGTTTTTTTTATTTCGCTGGCTCGGTCATTCAAGGGTCGTTTGAGTGGCGTGATTGGCGTCAGGGGTCGGAGGGCGCCGAAGGGTGTGCGACAACAACGTCACCAACGATCGCTAGCAGATTACCCCGCAACAAGAAAACAATGGGAGCCAGGTAGCCCCGGTCTTTTGCCGGGGAGCTGGGCACGAGGGCCAATGACCAGCAGTGGATGGAGCTGGATTCGGGGGTTCGCCGGACTCTGCGGGGGCAATCACCCTTGGCACCCTTGGCACTGCAGAGTATAAAAAGTCGTGGCACCGACAGCCAGTATGATGGAGATCAGCTCTTTCCTCTGTGTCACGATGTACTTTCACAAGCTGCTCCCCCTGGCAGCGGCCCTGGGCGGCTCTGCTTTCGCCCAGAGCCAGGCGGGCGTCGACGCCCTCGATCGCCCCGGCAATGATCTCTACGAAAAGGACCTTTCCAACTGCACTGGATACAAGGTGACCAAGCACCGGAAGACCGACTATGGCTTCTATGCGGACTTGTCGCTTGCAGGGCCAGCTTGCAATATTTACGGCATTGATCTTCCCGACCTGAAGTTAGAAGTCGAGTATCAGACCGACGAGCGACTGCACGTTAAAATCTTGGACACCAATAACACCGTCTACCAGGTTCCGGACAGTGTATTCCCGCGCCCTGGCTTTGGACAGTCGTGCTCTCGCGGAGACTCGAAACTCCAGTTCGACTTCAATGCTGACCCCTTCTCGTTTACTGTTTCGCGCTCTGATACCGGCGAAGTGCTCTTTGATACCACTGGTAACAAGCTGGTTTTTGAGAGCCAATATGTCTACTTGAAGACGCATCTTCCGCAGAACCCACATCTTTACGGTCTAGGCGAGCACAGCGATCCTTTCATGCTGAACACAACTAACTACACCCGGACGATCTACACCCGCGATGCGTACGGGACGCCGCAGGGAGAGAACCTGTATGGCGCTCACCCGATCTATTTCGACCATCGCGAGAATGGTACGCACGGAGTGTTCCTGCTCAACTCGAACGGTATGGATATTTTCATCGACAACCAGGACGGACAGTTCCTTGAGTATAACATCATCGGCGGTGTTCTCGACTTCTACTTTATCGCCGGACCCTCGCCGCGCGACGTGGCCAAGCAGTACGCTGAAATCACTCAGACCCCGCTGATGGTTCCGTACTGGGGACTCGGCTTCCACCAGTGCAAGTACGGTTACCAGGACGTCTACGAGGTCGCCGCAATCACGGCCAACTTCTCCGTCCATGACATTCCACTGGAAACTATCTGGACCGATATCGATTACATGGACCGTCGTCGTATCTTCACCCTTGACCCCGAACGATTCCCTCCCAATCTGGTTAAGGATCTCGTGGACACTCTGCACGCTCGGGACCAGCATTACATCGTCATGGTTGATCCCGCAGTGTACTACAAGGAGTCGAACCCCGCACTCGACGAGGGTCTCCGATACGACGCATTCATGAAGGAGGCTAATGGCTCCCTTTACCAGGGTGTCGTCTGGGCTGGTCCAAGTTACTTCCCTGAATGGTTCCACCCGAACTCTCAAGAGTACTGGACCGGGCAGTTCTTGGACTTCTTTGACGGAGTCAACGGTCCGGACATTGATGCCTTGTGGATCGACATGAACGAGCCCGCAAACTTCTACAACCGCCCGTATCCAGGCAACAACACCACTCCAGAGAAATTCGCCGAAGCAAACGACAACCCTCCCGAGCCGCCAGCGCTCAGAGATGGCCCGGACGCTCCCATCCCTGGCTTCCCGGCCAGTCTCCAGCCAAATTTTGCCTCCGGTAACGCACCCGAGAAGCGCGCAGTTGATCTCGTTACACGTCAGCCTCGCTCTCAACAAAAGCGTCAACTCGGTGCCGGCCGCTGGCGATCCGCAAAACGCCACTGGCCTCGAGATTTGAAGGCTGGCTGGCAACACGGTCGAAAGACCGGCTCTGGGTGCGGACCGGATGAATGCAAGGGTCTCCCCAACCGCGAACTCATCAGGCCTCCGTACATGATCCAGAACGGCGCCGGGCCCACGCTTGCGGACAGTACTGCCGATACCGACGTCGTGCAGTATGGCGGGTACCTGCAGTACGACACGCACAACATCTATGGCGCGATGATGTCGTCGCACTCCCACAACGCTATGCGCGCAAGGCGACCGGATGACCGGGCTTTGGTCATCACGCGGAGCACATTTGCTGGATCTGGAAAGGACGTGTCTCACTGGCTGGGAGGTAGGACATTTTTGCGACGTTACAACGATTCCAGAGCAGCGCTGACTAGGGTACTTGCCAGATAATCTCTCCGAATGGTACCAGTACCGGTTCTCGATCTCGCAGATCCTGCAGTTTGCCTCACTGTACCAGATCCCTCTCGTGGGTCCTGATGTCTGTGGCTTTGGCGGTAACGTCACGGAGACACTCTGCGCCAGGTACGTATTGCACCCCAATACTCTTGTTTTAGCACTGACTAACAACCGATGAAGATGGGCAACCCTAGGCGCCTTCTACACCTTCTTCCGCAACCACGCGGAGATCTTCGCCAACTACCAGGAATTCTACCGCTGGCCCGTCGTAGCCGAAGCCGCCCGCAACAGCATCTCCATTAGATACCAGCTGCGTATGCCACAACTCCTCCCTCCACCATATAAATGTCCACTAACAAGTCCTCCAGTCGACTACATCTACACAGCCCTCTACAAGCAAAACCAAACCGGCACCCCAACCCTCAACCCGCTCTTCTTCAACTACCCGCACGACAAAAACACCTACGCCATCGACCTCCAATTCTTCTACGGCGATGGCATCCTCGTTTCCCCCGTCACCGAGGAAAACAGCACAAGCGTCAGTTACTACCTTCCCGACGACATCTTCTACGAATGGGGCACGGGCGCTCCCGTCCGCGGCGAAGGCGCATACGTCTCGGCCGAAGTCGAGCTCACCGATATCACCATCCACTACAAGGGAGGAATCATCTACCCGCAGCGCATTGAAAGCGCGAATACAACCACCGCCCTACGAACAAAGGGCTTCAACATCGTCATTGCGCCGGGTCTAGACGGGACTGCCGAGGGGTCTCTATACCTCGACGACGGAATCAGCGTTGTCCAAGACGCGGTGAGCGAGATCGACTTCTCGTATGAGGATGGCGTGTTTAGCATGGACGGCTCGTTCGCGTATGATGCCGGCGTTGGGATCGAGCGGATTACGGTCCTTGGGGTTGACGCTGAGCCCGCGTGGGGCGTGCTGGTGGAGGAGGTTGGGGAGGTGGAGTTCGATGGCGTCAATTCGAAGCTTGTGCTCAATGTTGATGTGCCCTTGACGGCGAGTTGGAGTCTTCGGATTGCTTCGGATTGACTTGCGGTGGGAATGGGGTTCGATGATATAGTTGGGGGGCGTTGCGCCCTGCCTTTGCCTTGGGCTTGGGGGGTTGGAGGATTGACTGCAGGTGGGCAGGGAATGGTTTGTTTGGCGGGTTAAGTTTATTTCTTTTAGTAAAAATCAATACTTCAAAAATGTGTCAAGTGATGGTTACTTTGAGTTGATGGATATAATCACATTTCATGGTTATTAGTAGGGTAGGGTATCTATAAAGGTGGTTAGTCAACAAGCTGTAAAGCCCGCCTCTTCTCCCTCACAGTATCCGGGGCTGGCACTGTAACAGCAGCCTTGGTATAGTCATTGATACCCCATCTCTCCTTAAGCGCATTCAACTAGCCCGTATCAGGCCTGAGCTGGCCGCCTTCCACATCCAATTCTACAGAGGTAATTTGGGTCGCTGGCATTTCGGGGGTGACACTCGCTTGAGCGCCTTGCGGAATAAACCTTGTCTTACTTTAGTCATGACCGAATGACTTTCAGATCATCATGCCATGGTGCCGTTGAAGATGTTTGCCAAGTTATTTGGCACAGGGTGCTGGTATTCTTCCCCCTCCTGTTTGACCACTACCAACTAGTTGCGAAGCATTGAAATGGGGCTACAGTGAACAACAAAGGAGACAGTTCTCCTAAGTGCTGCCCTGGATCTGAGATGGAGAATGGGTGGTGAGTTGATGGGGGTCTTGGTGCCTGAGGCTGCTGGATGTGATGCGGGGTCGTGTGATGGCAACAACACCCGTAGGTCCTCTTTCTCTACTTCCTGTCTGGTCTGAGGCTATAACACTGCTTGGGCACTCGCATGAAAACCAGTGCTATCGTGATCTACAATCCAATCTACCTAGCCAGTGGAGGCAGAGCCTGGTTCAGGTGGCTGAAGCTCAACATGCGCCGCGACCGAATTCTGCAGGGATACCCAGGCATGGGAAAGAAAGGTCTCTGGCCAGGTCAGCCACGCACATGACGTGAGCTTCATCCCACTCGTTTCGCGTGATGCGCAGACACATCTGACCGGCACCTTTACCTGGCGAGAAGTTGACCCTCGGGTTTGTTGGGATCAACCCTACTTCAGCCATCATTTCCATCAAGAACTTATGCGTGGCAAATACGGAATTGGGTCGCAACTTGCTGTCCGCCATGTCGGTCGCACGAATCGGTTTCTCGGAGCTCCATGGTGGCGGCCCAGACCCGCTGGCCGAGTCAGTCTCTTCTAGCCGCGTATATGTGTTCTCTATACTGAATATCTCTAGTATCGTCTTCGTTCACGGCCTTGGAGGGCACCCGGAGAATACCTGGACGTATACACCTGCGAAGGATAGTCGATTTCGTCACCGATTCTTCCACTTCAGATCGGATAGGAAGAGACTCATACAGGCTGTTCCAAGCGTTTTCTGGCCAAGGGAACTGCTACGACAAGATTTATCAAACTGTCGAATCATGACATACGGCTATGACTCGGACATAGTCAGCTTCCTGGCACCAGTCGACAGGTCGAGCCTTTATCAACACTCAAACAGCTTCTTGGTTGACCTCAGTCATCGGCGGCAAAAATGGGTTCGTAAGGCTCCTATAGTCCGCTTTACCCTTGCTAAACCCCGTCATTGGACAGCCCGCGCGGCCCATCATATTTGTCGCCCATAGTTTAGGCGGAATTCTGGTCAAAGATGTGAGACCCCTGTGAATTGTGTATGTTCTACTTACTAAGGCTCAAAGCACAGGCATTAAAGCAGTCTCAGGATGCGCAATACAAGCCGAAGCTTCAGAATATCTATGAAAATGTTCATAGTGTTATTTTCCTAGGAACCCCGCATCGAGGCTCAGATTGGGCGGCGTTGGGCAAAAGTCTCTCCATCTTTGCATTGGGAAAGGCGAACGATGGGCTGCTCAGGTCTCTCCAAGTCGGAAGCGCAGACTTGGAGCGTCTGACAGATGCCTTCGCAGTTATGCTGAAAGCAAACAAGGTCAAGGTGTGCTCTTTTGTTGAATCCCAAGCGATAACCGATATACCGGGTTTTGCCAACAAGGTATTATATGCACTTCGAGTCTGTTCCCGTGCAGTGAGCAAAGACTAACCGGACCAGATTGTTGACGATTTCTCGAGCCGCATTGGAGATGCCGCAGAGATATCTCAAGTATTACATGCAAATCATCGGACCATGTGCAAATTTACCGGCGCAGATGACAGCAATTACCAGAAAGTACTGGCGGCACTTAAAGATTTCGTCTCGGATATACAAGACCACCTCACAGTCGACAATGGTGTGTCTAGGAGCCCCGAAGCTTTCTTTGTATAGTAGACTTGCCTGCCACAATCGCGTCGAGAGCACCCATTGGTTACTAATACTGCATTTTCACAGAAAATGCTTCGGTTGATGCCTGGCACGCCCAGCCCCCAGCGGCTTGTCAAGATGTTATCCGTAGTCGAGCAAGACTCCCATTTAGGTCATACCCCGCAGCTTGACGATGGACACTTTGCGTGGGTATTTGCCAATCTGGACTACCAAAAATGGTTAAGTTCAAGATCAATCCAGGTACTGTGGCTCTCGGGTCCTTCCCAATGCCGCCTTTGGGAAGTCTCTTCCTATCTGATTCAATCCAGAAGGAAGGCGGCATTGACTACCATTGGAAATGAAATGGTGCTTTACTTCTTCTGTACACCCACAAGACTGGAACGACACATGAGTATGACTTTCATCCATACTATTCTCTATCAAATCCTCCAGTCTTCATCCGAACTTGTCCGATCTGAGATATCGAGGACATTCATTCAGGCTCTTCGTTCCAACTACCCTGACGAAAGAGAGAAGCGGGAGGAGCGTCAGCGTTCTTGGGGGCCCCTTGACACTGATGCCAACAATGCTATCTTGAACGGAATTCTCTGGGCAGCAATTGAGAAAGTACTGATCACACAGGGAAGGCGACAGGTGATCCTCGCTGTGGATGGCCTTGACGGCACAACTGAGGCAACATTCCTTTTTGCGCTAAGGCGATTCATCGAGCATATCACAGGCCGAATCGGTGTTAAGGTCTTGGTAACAAGCAGGCCACTCCCGAGTATCAAGGAGTTCTTTGATGGATTCCCTTCAATTGAGTATAATAAGGAGCGAGAGGGTATGGAGTGGCCACACGCGGACAAGAATTGATAGGTTAGGAGCTAACTGTGGAGATAGAATGCCTGGCAAGACTCCAAATCGACGATGCACGGTACCGCAAGATATCCCAGGGCCACAGAGGCTCTTTCCAATGGCTTTGGAAGCATGAACAGTATGTGAGCTGGTCCCAGCACAAGGGATCTAGGCTGCTACACGTCGTGGGGAAACCCGGAAGCGGAAAAAGCACCCTTACCAAGTTCTTCACTCAGCATGTTCGGGAGACTCAGACAAGCATGGACATCCCAGAACCAGCACCGGTGATAGCAAAGTTCTTCTATAGTTATCGAGACGGCGAAAGGCAACGAAGCCACCACAACATGTTTCGTTCTATCTTGGCGGAAATCATCGCGCAGGAGGAGCCATTCTTTTATCATCACATCCAGAGTATTTATCGCGCACAAGACTGCTGTGAGGGCCGCCTTGAGTGGAACTATGACTCGCTGGTCCAGGCTCTGAAGGGACTGTGCGACTACTCCACCAACCGGCGCTTCTTCCTTATTCTCGACGCCATTGACGAGTCCGATGATCAGGATCGATACATGGTCGTCAATCTCTTACATGAGATATGTTCACAAGCTACATCATGCACAGTCAAAGTCTTCGTTGCAAGCCGCCCAGTGGATCATCTAGGGTCAAAATGGTATCACAATACCATCAGACTACAGGACGAAACGAGTGCTGATATTCGTCAATACCTGCTTTCGTTCTTGAGTGGGTTCGATATGACAAGTACGTTGGAGCAAGCGATAGATTATATTGTGGAAACCGCCCAAGGCGTGTTTATCTGGGTTCAGCTTGTGGGAAGGGAGCTTCAGCGGCAAGTGTTCGCTTCTGAAGAGCAGATATTCGGGTTTCTTCAAAAGCTTCCCACTGGCCTCGAGTCTTTCTACGAACTTATGCTAGAAAGAGCGAGAGAGCAAAGTTTACCGCACTTGATCAAGTTATTCCGATTCGTTTTATTCGCAGCTCGCCCACTTCTCGTTGGCGAGATCCGTCATTTCCTTGCTGTCCCTGACCAACCTGGGGATGACTGTGCGATCTCATACAGAACATTGACAAAGGCTACCCCAGGGAAGTCCTATGTAACTCAATGTGGTGGGGACTTTTTAGAGATAAAGAACGTCGATGGTACCTATGACCCACCCCAACTGGTTCTCGAGTATACGCCCTGATATGGAACAGGTGATGAGTACGTGCAATTTATTCACCAGACTGCCCGAGAGTTTCTTCTTCAATTTCCAGGACATACTGCTCCACCTGCACCATGGACTGATAGCAAGCTTGCACACAATCATATATCCATTATTTGTTTGAGATATCTTATGCTCTGCGCAAAGGAGGATCTTCCAGAACATTTCGATCTCTGGCGGGATGCAGACTTCCACAGATATGCCGAATACATCGATCAGCTATTGTTCGCACAGTATGCTATCGAATACCTCGGCCGCCACTTGACGGTCTGCCTCGTGGAAAGTGAAGTGAAGGTAGCCATATCGGCGCTTGCCGAGACCATATGTTCGAGTATAACCTGCGCCTTCATGGATGACTGGGCCACTTGCTTAGGAGACGACCGCTTGAGGGCCAACCGAGATAAAACACAATATGCAAAGCCATTTCAGATGAGGGTTCTGGAGGCTTCTGTTTGTGGTCGCTTTCCTGTGGCCGTCCGAATCATCCTTTGCACCGGCGCTGACGTCAATCACAGGGACAGAGCAGGTGCTTGCTTACTAGCTAACGCAGCTGTCCGCGGCTATCCCGACATGGCCTCTGTTCTACTCTCCCACCCGGAAATATTACCTGATGTCAAAGACTCAGCCGGTCGTACGCCTCTCTCGGTAGCGGCAGAACATGGAAATGCAGATGTCGTGCGCGTACTCTTGGGCCACCAAGACGTTGACATTAATTCACTGGACGCAACACACAGGACGCCATTGTCTTATGCCGCAGAATATGGTCGCGAAGCAGCTGTCAAAGTTCTCGCAAATAACCCGAAGACGGACCTTTTCATAGCTGACGACAGGTCTAGGAGGCCTCTATCTTGGGCCGCTATTGGCGGTAATGAATGCGCCATGGAATCGTTACTCCGAGCAGTTCTGTCAGGCATAAGTCTTGGCCCGGATGAATTAACCACAGGAGAATGGAGGGCTGGAATAAACTCGAAAGACGATTCAGGAAAAGCGGCGTTGTCATGGGCAGCGTATCACGGACACTATAGCGTTGTGAAGATGATGCTCGACATGCCAATTCCTCAAGGCGCCCTCGTCCTGGACCCCAACACCTCGGATGATCACGAAATGACACCGCTCATGCTCTCCGCCAGTGGTGGGCATCTGGCGGTGGTAGACCTCCTGCTCCATCGGGATAAAGTGGACGTTGAAGTACGAAATGAAGACGGGATGGGCGTGCTGTCTGTTGCTGCAGCCAGTGGTCACGCCGACATAGTTGCCCTGCTTCTCGGGGACCCGCGGATATACCCCAATTCCAAGGATTTCAGGGGGTGGACTGCAACTTGCCATGCCGCTTTCCACGGCCACAAAGAGGTGCTGAGGACTTTAGTAGCTGACGAACGGACCGATGTGGATCTGCCGGATAATGATGGTCTCACACCACTGTGGCGAGCATCTATCTTCGGACGTACAAACGCAGTACGGGTCTTGATATCCACGAAAGCGGTTGACCTGAATATCAAAGATGTGGACGGCTGGTCGCCCCTGGCATGGGCCGCACAGGAGAACCACTGGGACGTTGTCAGGGAGCTACTTCAGGCCACCGGAGTCGAGGTTGATTCGGCCGACTCCCGTGGCCTCACACCTCTGTGGTGGGCGGCTGACCGAGGCAATGATCTTGCGGTCAAGCTGCTGCTAGAAATCGGCCATGCCAGTTTACATACAGTTGACGCGGTGGGTCAAACCCCTTTAATAAGAGCTGCATGGCGCGGCTACGAGAGAGTCGTCAAGGCTATACTGCGTGTTGATACTAGCACTTGTGATCTTCCTGAACGATGGGGACGGACACCGCTTTCATGGGCGGTAGAGACAGGGGACATTCGAATTATACGGGCGCTGCTGAACACAGGTCTGGTCGACTTGGATCGGAAAGATGTCTGGGGACAGACGCCTCGGACTAGGGCTGCGGATTGTGGAGATGACGAGATCATCAGGCTGTTTGATGCGCTTTGAAAAGACTCTTCTTACCCGTTCAGATCACTGTCGTGACTTGGCTTGTCGAGCCCGTGGCCATCGGTGTACCTACTCCTCTGTCCTCCTTTCCCCAACGTCGTTTTGTCCCCAACTGCGCACGTCATCCATCTCCATGTTTATTTATTTATTTATTTATTTTCAGCAAGCGACGCTCGCCTTTTCCTTTGTCTGGGAGCTTTGGGTGCTCGCTCGGAGCTCTACTTGATATGTCCAATCTTCACTTGGAATTCTATATTTATAGGGATCAATGCAGTCCTCCACGTAATTGGACGTGTGGACGGGGCAGGTGTTGGATAGTATATATTTCCTACCAGGTTATGATAAAAACAATGATACTACAAGTAGCTACCAAGGCTTGGTACTTTAATACTGCACATCTATTTAAATCACGATAGATGGTAAAACTACTAGTCTCGCTTGGTCATGGGCAGCATTGCTATACCATCCTATGTTATCTCTCATGCAGTCTATGGGTATACCTATTTTGTACTGGTGTTACACAGGATCCTGCTATTAAAGCAGGGTGACTGACTATATACACACACATAACAGTCTGTACACTAGGCACTGCAAGCACAACAAGGCCAGAGATGACGAAACTAGAATTATGCACCTCGCATTGAGCTTTTCTTATTGCTGGTGAATAACATAACGCGCCTGCGTCCCTTATCTTGTATTGAAATTAACAACTGCCATTTACCAACAGCCAGCACCCTGCTACAGCACACCAAAGTAACTGTGACAAGGAGTATAACTTAGGGTTCCTCAACATACTGACATCCCAAATCCAACCAGCCCAGCTGTCCTGGCTGTTTTGCAAAACATTGCCTACATACCCTGAAAACGAGTCCGATCTGATACCTACCTATGCTCCGCGAACAAAAACAAAAAACATACAACAGCTGCAGGTGGGATTCGCATGTGGTCACCCACCATACTACTAACCAGCCGGCGTGTGGTTTAAGTACGGCTGAGCGGACGGGAAGCCCTGTTCTCCACACCCTGTGGTCGTATGTATTAGTTCTTTTCAAAGCAAGGCTTATAGTGTACAATATTGCAGACCATGAAGAAGCGTCGGGATGGGTTTAGGGCTCGGCTCGGGCGGGTGGGAAGGGCATACGGACTACCTAACTATGGGCATTGATTGAAGACGAGCAGTCACCTTGGCCGGCCTTGCGCAAGGTTGCATCAGAGGGCTTCGTTGTGGATGTGTACCTAGTTCTCATTATCTAACCATCCATTGCCCAGGTACAATCCTACATGACTCTACAAATCATACGGCACCACAGGCTAAACCACCCGCTCACCCCCCTCCACTCCCCCATCCTCCCCCTCGTCACTCTCGTCATCATGCAACCCACTCAGCTTCTCAATAATCGCTGCAGCATAGAGATCCCCCGAGACATTCGTCATCGTGCGGAACCGATCAATGAACCAATCAATCGCAATGATGACCGCATACATCCCTGTAATCGGGACGTCCACACTCCCCGCAATCATAACCGTAAGCACAAGACTCGAGCTTGGAATGGGCGTCGTCCCGATACTTGCCAGTGTGGACAACAGGCAAATAATCACGTAGTCCGCTGGACTTAGACTGTGCCCCTGCGTCTCGGCAAGAAACACCACGCACAGCGGGAAGTAAATCGCCGTTCCGTCCATGTTCACCAGACACCCCAGCGGGACGGTGAACTTGGACACCGTATTCGAGACGCCGCTGGCCCGAACAACCTTGAGACTCAGCGGCAACGTCGCAGCGGACGAGGCAGTGCCCCAAGCCGTCGTCCAAGCCGGCGAGCACCTCAGCCAAAACGTATACGGCATCCGCCTCGTAACGATGAAGTACAGCGCCGGCAGGACGATGAAAAGATGCAGGGCCAGATTACACAGCGAACCGCCGATAAGCACACCCAGGTTCTGCCCGATATCCCGTACATCAAGACGGAACATGTTCGGGAGAATCAAGAAGAACACACCGATAGGCGCAAGCTTGATCAGAACCATGATGATCTTCATGATAATCCCCTCGACCTCCTCGACGGCCTTCAGGATATACGAGTGCCGTCGGTCAATCATGTAGCCGACCACAACGGCCGTGACTAGAACGGCAAGCAGGCTATCGGTCGCGAGCGCATCAACGATATTAAGCGGAATCAGCGACTCAAACATCTGCACGACAACGTCGGAGATATCCGTTTCCTCGCGCTCCGCGAACGTCTCCTGGTCTTCTTCGTCGACGTTCAGGCTCTCAGAACTCGCTTGCGTCATGAGGCGGCGCCAGACGAGACTCGTTAGGATGATGGAGTGCACGATTGCGAAGAGCGTCGTGAGCACGTAGTAGCCTATTGTCCAGCGGGCTAGGATATGGCCGCCGTTCGAGAGTTCGCGGAGCCGTTGCACGGCGAGGATCATGGAGGTTACGATCATGGGGAGGACTAACGCATCTCTGTTAGTACAACCTGGAAGAACGGGTGAATGGATGGGGAACGCACCAGCAGCCCTCAAAGCGCGCAGCCACAGCGCGCCGGGGATCTCGATGATCGTTGGCGCGGCGTAGGGGATGTCGTCGACTGTGCTGGAGACCGCGAGGCCGATTGCGATGGCGATGGCGGCGGCGGTTACGATTTGCAGCGCGGAGCCGGGCTCTTTGATGGCGTGCCACCATGGTTTCTTGGGCTGGGTTGAGTCTGCAGTGGAGGTTTGCTGGACGGTGTATTCCTGGGGGCTGTCAGGGCGCCCGGAGTGCGCGGAGACGCCGGAGCTTTTTTCCATTGCTATGGCGCAAGATGGAGTCTCGCTGGGTGGTCGGATTCCGAAGGTTGAAGAACCAGGGGAAGAGGTTTCTCACAACCTTGCTGGAGTCCCTTGGGCTTCATATACGAGCTGCTCTATCGTCGCAACGCCACAAGCCGACGGTAAACGGCCGCCACGCGATATCGTTCGAAGGATGGAGGTGAAAGAGCCACAAGCCCTTCGGGCTCAAACCCTGCCTGTTGATTCGAGGAGATAAGAGCACTGAGGCAACATCATGATCCTCTCGCATTGGCACTGGAAATGAAAGGCAGGATTGGGGATGCCAGGAGTAGGGTTACATCTGCGTGGCTTGTCGTTCCTGGGCGGCGTCCGTGGGTTGCGCTTTGTGGTGGCTTGCTTTCAGGATACAAGCATGGGCTTATCGCCTCGTATCAGGGATCGAAGTGATAGGGCTGGCTATTCTGTACCAAGGGCTTGGATCAGCGGAGAAATTCCGTCGAGATGCTGCCCAGGCGCCAATGCCGGCCCCAGAGCTGGGCGTGAGAGGGGAGAAGGTGTCCGCGTGATAACGGGGAAGATTGACGGTGATAAGGTGGGAAGAGATCAGATGGGTTGACGCTGGAATAATGAAGGTCGCCAAATGGGGGTGTGTTTACATTCTACAATTAGGGCTTGATGTAAACTACCATCTCCCAGCCCTCTTGGTATCCACAAGAACCTGATAAGGGTCGAGTCTCTCAACCAAGCCACCATCCTGTCCCCGGAAGAGCATTCGAGTACGCCTACTTAACGCTGAGTTGCTGAGCAACAGAGGTGCTCTACCTAGCTGATATACCAAGCTCGACGCTTCTTATTGGTCTTTACCCATCCACTGTACAGGCCGTTTACTAAAGAAAACATAGCACCTACGACCACAGGGTCTTCCCTACTATTGTATGTTATGCAGTTTCTTGCTATTGTTACTTTATTCATAAAAATCAGGTATTTGGTGCGGACCTGATTTTCCCTCATTGTCAAGTTTGCCGGCGGTTGACCCGCTATAATCATTACCAACACAACTAGGAATCATAATTCCTTTATATGGATAGTCCATCATGCTAAAGGCTACTAGACTGACAGTCAAGTACAAGCACAGCAAATCGTCTCTCCATTTAAAGAAAATAACCGAGCCAGTAGTAGCCAGGCCCGGTGGCCGGGGCCCGTCCCAGCAACATGCTGCCCAACACAACCTCAATCATCCGTCCACTCATTCTCACCACAAGGGAATGTCGGATCCCTGTTCTTAGGAGCCGTGCTTGTGGAGTAAAAGTAGTTCCAGAGCGCCTCCTTCACGCCGCACACGGGGATCGTGAATACCCAGGGCGCGCGGATATCCGAGTCCACGAGGCTTTCCAGCATCTCCCCCCAGTCGGACGAAGACTCCCAGTCGTTGAATCGCTTGGGCTCTTCGACGTTCTTGTTGCCGTTTGCTTTGTATGTTGCGAGGGAGCTATACGAATAGAGAATAAAAAGGCGGGTGTTAGTTGAAATGTAAGAATGAAGGGAGAAACAGCCTGGGCTGGCTTACCCAAAGACAATATCTTCAATGTCCACCATCTGCCAGTGCAGGCTCTGGCTGTCCTCCTCGTCTTCTGGCGTCGTGCCGACCAATTCGTCTGCTCCGGGGAGGTCCTCGAACTTGTCGCACCCGTAGCCGCCCGTGTTGCTCCCGTGCCGGCATTTGTCCCTGGGGTCCGTGGCGCTGACTAGATAGTAGGCCCGGTCGGCCTTCTTATCGCATATGATCTTGTTGTTGAGTGTGTCCTTTTTGAGACGGAGCTGCAAATCGTCGTCCTTCGGGGCGTCGTCGCAGCTGAGGCCGGTGTCGACGATGCTAATATTGGCAACACAATGTGGGTTAGTTTTCATGGCTTGGAAGAACAGAAGATGAAAAACCGAGCAAGGGATCCAGCTAAACCAGGGGTATGTTGCACGCACAATGGATTCAAGTCCCGGCCAGAAACGCTCCAAGCCGCAGGGACCAGCAGGGCCCAGAGGGTCCTCCGGATCTGCAAATCCAGCTCAATGGGCCCAGGCAGGCTCAGCCGCGGGTCGATCATCTTCCCCTCAGCGAGCAGCCTCCCCAGGCTACTGATGCCACCCTGCGTCCCGTCGAACAGGGACTGCGCGTACTCGGACGTGGCATTCTGCCACGAAAACACCACATTGTCGACCTGCGTCTCCAGCACCTTCTCGGCCTCCCACACGTTCTGCGCCAGAATGTCCTTGGCCAGCGTGATCCCCTGCAATGTCATGCCGTCCGCGAAGGCCTGTGCCGTGGGCCCGTTGCCGTTCTTCGACCCCCACTGCGTCTGGGACACCCACTTGTTCCAGATCGGCGCCATGGCCCCCGCGTAGCCGAGGGAGAGGATGTCCAGGATGATGATCGTGCTTAGGCCGTCGTCTTCCTTGGCTGGAGCGAACTTGGCCGCGAACGTCCCGATCTGGTTCTCCACGCGGTCTCGGGCGTCGCCCAGTGCCGCGTAGATGTTGCGGAGTGTCTGTGAGATAGCCCCGTTTGTTAGCCATATATCTAGTCCGGAAAGAAGGGCTTCACGCAAGTTGGGCGTAGGATCCTACCTTGGAGATCGTCTGAAACGAGAGGATAATGAAATACGCCGCCGGGCCCGGGTCCTGCTCATCACACTTGGCGTCGCCATAGCACCCGTTCTGGTCGTTGAGGTCCCCGCAGTTCATGTTCTGCGAGTAGTCCAGCGTCTGCGAGACGTGCTGCGAGAAGGTGAGGATCCGGTCGGAGTCATTGATCCGCTTGCGCCACGCCCAGAGGGCGTACTTCCATGCGTCGGGTGCCAGGACAGCCTCCCATCGCTCATGCGGCGGCATGGTGACCTGCTGCACGGCCTCGTTCATGCAGTTGTACTTCGGGTCCATCCACTCGGTACTTGGCGTGTTGTCGTAGTCGCCGTCAGGGAGCTCCGGGAATCCGCCGCCGGGCAGGTCAGTGTCGTCGTCTCCTCCGCCATCGACACGGTAGCATTGGTTTTGCCAGAGGGTGAGAGCGCCGTGGTCCGGGTCGATGGACACCCAGTCCCACCGTTCATCTTCCCCAGTCATCTAGAACAGTTACACTCGGTTAGCTCTCTTGACCTGCAGCTGAAACGAAGGGCCTACCTCGGCGAGCCTGATATTTGTATTCGGCGACCCAGTGCCAGCCGCAAAGCTAATGGGTACAGCCCAGGCAATGCTCCCGTCGTCTTTGAATCCCTTGTTGATCCACACGCGGGCCTGGCCTGTCACCCGGCCCAGGACCACGTAGTCGAGCAGCCCGTCCCCGTTGGTGTCGGCGAACTGAATGTCCATCGGCGCCACGCCAACGCCATCGGCGACGAGCTTCGCGGCATGGAAGTCTGGCGGGTCGCGCCCAGTGTGCTGCCACATGGCCACGGCGCCAAACTCGTTGACATACAGGTAGTCGTCGAATCCGTCCCCGTTCAGGCTGTATCGCGGTTAGCGGATCGGCAAGAAAAGACCTAAAGGAATAGAGAGGGGAAGGGGACCGTACTCAGCAAAGCGCACGTTCCTGGAGTCAAAGCTCCAGCCGAACTTGGTCTCGACGGTGGTCTTGGGCCCTGTCGCAAACACTCCGCGCGCCTGCCAGGCGTAGTCGGTGTCCGGTCCCAGATTCTCCCACCACGAGGCTTGTCCAATGCTCTCCTCCACGACCACGTAGTCTGCACGCCCGCTGCTGGTCAGCACGGCCGTGTGGACCCGCGACCGGCCGTTTCCTGTTCCCTCGGCAATGCGGCCGACGTTGTGCCATGCGTCCTGGGGGCCTCCGGCGTTGATGTAGCCGTATCCCCTGCCGTCCTGGTCGACCCAGAAGTAGTCCGCGACGCCATCGCCGTTCACTAGGGCTTGTCAGACGGCCAGAACACAAGATATAGATAGAGAACTCACAGTCAGTCAGCATGACCCCGTCCCCGACCTGAAACTTCCCTCCGGTCCCCAGATTCTCCCACAGCTCCGTCCTCCCGCTTTTCTCATCCACGCGCAGATAGTCCGCCTTGCCGTCCCCCGTGATATCAACAAGAAAGACCTCATCCTGCGCCGTCCCCTCCGGCCCATCAGCCACATGGAAGATCTTCATCCACCTCGGAACTATCCCCTTCTCCTGCCGGCGGTTGATGAACCCGGTCATCTTGCCATGCAGGCCAACCATCACATAGTCCGCGCGCCCGTTCCCGCTCAGATCAGCCAGGATGACTTTGCTCTCTGGGCCGAACGACTCGCCCGTGGCAATCACGCCGACCTTGTGGTAGTCCGGCATGTCGCTGATCCCCGTGTTCCACCAGCCGGTGACTTCGCCGGTGTCCTGGTTGACGATGCAGAAATCCGCTCTTCCGTCGCCGTTGAGATCGACGAGCTGCAGCGTCTCGTTGGTCGCTCCTACGCCTCCTGCGATCCGGCCGAGCCCTTTCCAGCGCCATACCCCGTCTGCGTTCCTGCTGCCTAGGTTGATGAAGCCTTCGACTTCGCCGTTGTCGGCTACGTAGATGTAATCGTCAAAGCCGTCGCCGTTCAAGCTGGGGAGAAGAAGGAGACCAGGAGGTCAGGAATGTAAAGGGCAAAAAGAAACGTAGAAGGGAGGGAGGAACTAACTCGGCAAACATGACGCCCGTGCCGTCGCGACCATCTCTCCCAGTTGCAATCTCGCCGAGGGCCTCCCACTCGCCAGATGCCCTTCCATTAGCGTCGGGGATATTGCGCCAGACACTGGTGGCCCCGTTCTGTGGTTGCACGCACCCGTAGTCTTTCAGGCCGTCGCCGTCGAGGTCGAAGAAGTGCACCTTGGATCGCGGGCAGGCTCCTTCGGCAATGACCCCCCGGTTCGCCCAATTGGGCTTGAACGGGCCGTCGTTGTACGCTCTGGATGGGGACAAGCAAACGGTCAGTCAAATGTTGAAAGAACACGCCCGGGCGGACGGACAGGAAAGAACAGAACATACGCCTGCGGCCCCAGTGCTTTGGCGCCGGTCTTATACCAATTCGGCGACGGCCTGCAGTTCTCTGGATTGGCCGGAGTGGGGGGCGGCGCCATCGCCATGCCAGGCTCCGTAATAAGCCCCTCCGCATCAGCAGCCTCAATCGCCTCATACCACGCCTCCGCCATCTTCGCATACCCCGCAACAGAAGGATGCAGTTCATCGTGCAGATCCGCCACCGAGAGCGCCCGGTCCATCCGCACAACCACCACTTTCTTCCCCTTGTCCAAAAACCCCTGCACAACCGCCGGGACCGCGGCATTGAAGTCGTCAATCCGCGCCTGCTTGACCGCGTTATCGGCGGGGATGATCTGCGCAACGAAGATCACTGCGTCCGGCGCGGTCTCGAACACCAGCTCGATCAGGTCCCGCAGGCGGCTCGGCGCATCCAGGACGTCAATGTCCTTGTGCATGTCGTTTGTGCCGACATGCATGAGCACGATGTTCGGCCCCGCGTACCGGCCCAGACTGCTCGAGGCGCCGATCTCCGCGATGAAGAAGCCGCGGTAGCCCTCGTGCGCGGTGTCTGCGAACGTCCCGCTGCGCTGCCGCCCGACCATGTTGACCGGGTTCCCGCGCGCTGTGAGCTGGGCGTATAGCGGGCCGCGGTAGCCGTTGTAGTTTGCGTCGCCGGCGCCGTATGTAATCGAGCTGGATTTACGGGATTGCATGTTAGTGCCGTGCCTTTGTCCGCCTAATCTATGTATACGGGATCCTTGGAGACAAACGTACTCGCCGAGCGCAAGCACCCTCAGTTCGACGCCGTTGGCTATTGGGGCGCGAGACTGGAGGTCAGCGGTGTGTGCGAGCTGAAGCTGGAACCCTGTCATGGCCAGTAGGACGAGCAGGGCCCAAAGGCTCTGCCTCTGCCGCTGCCGCTGCCGCTGCCGCTGCCTGACGCGAAACAGACCAGGGTGTGCCATGGCCGGGGTAAGATGCAGTTGCGTGTAGTCTGGTTTGTCGCGTACTTGGAGAGATAATACACGAATGAATTGCTAAACAATTGTAGCTGCGATAACCCCTTTGCAAAACGACGGCGTAGACCCATCTACCTAGATATAGAGAAACTCAGCTCGGACTATAGGCAAGCTAAGCCTGATAGAGGGCTGCTCCGAACGAAACCTGGGGCCAGGCCAGGGACAGTAGTAGATGCAGATAACACGGTACCTGCTGCGCCTTGTGGCCCCAGGGCCTTGGCGATTGGAATCTGCCAAACACCATCTTTCCTGGGCCGGATACTCTTCGTACCTGCATGTATATTTGTATATTTATTCATGGATTCAGCATGAGATTGGACAACCGCATGCTGGGATTGTTCTGCTTGTAGATAAATAATCACAATTAAGCTCATCTGCCAATATTAGGAATGTAGTGGTGTACATACTTAGGTTATTTTAACAAAAATCCTAAAGTATTTAATATCTCATTGTGAATCTGGCGGGCGAGTCAGGTTATGCACCCCACGTCTCACATCTCGCTATAATAGTTTGCAGGAACATTATATAAATAGTAGGTAGTTATGTACCTACCTACCTAGTAAATACTACCTTCCTAATTCGGGCATATGCTGCGCCTGCAGAATCAAGTTTTTCCGTGCTTTATCTTGGAGAAAGAGGGATGCATAGGAGAAACTGGGAAGCGTCTTGTAGGGCAGGGGCAGGGGACATTATTGGTTAGTAGGGAATGCGGTCTATTCATCCAAATAATGAACTGCCACACCTGTTCACTTCCAGAACCAACTCCTTAATCGCCGGTCTGACAAGCGCCTGGATTCCGGCGGACGACCAAGCAAGGGTCTTTTCGAGATTAATCTTCTGCTGGTCCCGGGCCAAGAATACACTGTTGCCGGAGCAGACCTACTTCTGACCTAGCTAGCATTAGATATCTTGGCCACCTATACTATTACAATCCACGGTCAGTTCTTCCGTAGTTCTTCGGGACGGTCTCGATCCTATCATGCAAGGCTATTCCTACGTTTAACTCAAAGCGAAAACAATTCGCGCCACTAAGACTGGGGCTGGTAGCAGTGCCTATGGTTGTTAATTAATTAAATATTCACAATTTTCAAGAGTTATCACCCGTTCCTGCCGTCGCTGTCTACCCTCTTTAAGAAGTCTCGAGCCCAGGCACCGACCGCCAATCCGCTGTACTGTAACATGAGCCTGTTGCACCATCGCTCGAACAGTATCATGCTCGGCCTGAATTTAATACTGCGCCCCTAACCCATGGGTTAAGCCACTATCCTGCTGCCCGTATAAGGTCCGCAGCTCCCGGTTCATCAGGATTAACTAGGCAGGTGAAGTGGTGATCTTTTTTGTTGTAGCAAGCCCATCTCAAGATGTCGAAATAATACACCATGACCTCGGGAAACTATCCATGGATAGACATAAGCAACGGGTGGATAAGAGTTATGAAGTTAAAAGGATATTATGAAGGACATTATTATCAATTATACTACCTTTTAAATAAGGACTAGTATTTATTTATTGAGATTTGATATATAATACTTTGTTACTTCTTAATATTTCTTTCTCAAGCTTAGATTTCTGTACTGTGTACATAGCGCCAGATAGTTAAATTCGACGTCTGATAGAGGCTGCCGTCTTATGTCAATGAAAATGAACATTGTGTCAGGGGAGTAACCACGCGAAGAGAAGAATGTCCAGCAAGAAGAAGAACATACCCCTCAGGGAGAGTATTTCCTGCCGGCGAAGTTCAGTACACAAAGCTGTTTCCTGGGGTCGAAGATATTGGGGAGATTTGGAGAGCTTGTATAGCTGGAGGGTGGGTCCAGCCAATCTGGCAGCGCAAATGCAACCAATCACGAGCGAGGCAGATCAAATTTGATTTGCCTCCATCGCCGCGTCCAGACCCCGTGACTCACTCAATCTCAGCGGTGATCAGAAGAAAATCTCCCATCAGCAGCAGGAAGAGGAATTGGGCAATTGCTGATCCAGACCTGACAATCCTCATCGGCATGGTCACTGAGCCCCTCCCATCGGGAGATATCAACGCCGCCGAGTCCCAGTCACAGTCAAAGGGCAAGAGCCTGGCATTCCCCCACGTCCCCGACAAATGGCTGTCCCGCATCGCCAACTGGGGCGTTGAGCTGCGCGGCGTCACCCCGGTCCCAATGGAAGAGCGAACAGACACGCGCTTCATCAATGTCTTCTTCGTCTGGTTTACACTGAGCACAAACCTGCTCCCGTACGTTCGCCACCCTCTATTAAAGCATCACTAACAACCCGCAGAATCATCACCGGCATGGTAGGGACATTCGTCATGGGCCTCTCCCTGCGCGACGCATCCCTCATCATCCTCTTCTTCAACATGCTCTGCACAATCCCGCCGGCCTACTTCAGCACCTTCGGCTCCCGCACCGGATTACGCCAGATGCTCCACGCCCGCTTCACATTCGGCTACTTCCTGGTCTCGATCATCGTCGCGCTGAACCTGTGCACCATCGCCGGGTTCGGCGTCATCTCCTCGGTGCTCGGCGGGTCCACCCTCGCCGCCGTCTCGGGCGGCAGCATCGACGACACAGCCGGCATCGTGGTCATCGGCGTCTGCGGCATGGTCGTCTCCTTCGGCGGGTATAAGTTCCTGCACCAGTACGAGCGCTACTGCTGGCTTTTTGCGCTGGTCGCGATTGTCATTGCGACGGGGGTTGGCGGGGGGAAGCTCTCTTTGCAAGCGCCCACGGAGCCCCCTAGCGCCGCGACGGTCCTGAGCTTTGGGGGTGTCATTGCGGGCTTTCTTATTCCGTGGGCTGGAATGGCTGCGGACTTTAGCGTCTACTGCACGCCTTCCGTCTCGTCGGTCCGGATTTTCACGTACACATATCTAGGCCTCTTTCTGCCAACCGTCCCGCTCATGGTCCTCGGCGCAGCGATCGGTTCAGCGACGCCCTCGATCCCCGTCTGGTCAACCGGGTACACGCTCTACGGCGTTGGCGGCGTTCTGGACGCTATGCTCTCGCCCGCCGGCGGATTCGGGAAATTCGTCTCCGTCCTGCTCTCCTTCTCTCTCCTCGGTAACCTCGCCGCATCAATGTACTCCATCAGTCTGAACTTCCAACTCCTACTGCCGTGGGAACTCTGGCGCCGCATCCCCCGCTTCGTCTGGAGCATCGTCTACACGGCCGTGCTGATCCCCGTCTCCGTCGTCGCCGCAAAGTCGTTCTTCACGAACCTCGAGAATTTCCTGTATGTTATTGCGTACTGGTCGGCGGGGTTTTTTTCTGTCGTGTGCGTTGAGCATTTTGTTTTTCGCCGTGGGGATTTTTCCACGTATATCAGTTCAAACTCCGATGATGACGGAAGTGGGAAGAGTACCTGGGATAATCCCGCCAAACTACCCACTGGCCTCAGCGCCATTGGCGCAATGGCGCTCTCGTTCGGCCTGATTATACCCTGTATGGGGCAGGAGTGGTTTACTGGTCCGCTTGCGGAGAAGACAGGGGATATTGGGTTTGAGGTTGCGCTTGTGCTGGCGGGGGCGCTGTATTTGCCGTTGAGATGGGCGGAGAGGAAGGTGAGGGGGGTATGATTGCGTTTATGTAGAAGGATTCTGAGACCGGATGGGGCACGGGTCTTGATGGACATGGACATTGATGGATGTATTGGTATAGCTTTATCGGTGGGGTGGGGAGGTACCGTAATATGCTGCCTAAGTGATTTGCCCGACAGCACTAGCATTACGGTGTTAATCCGGTAATTTATATAGATTGATCAAGTAGTACTAGGACAATGATATTGAGAGCAGATTAAACGCAGCCTCAACTTGATCTGATCTACAAACATCTGCTCGGACTGGTCAACTCTCCCCTAGGTAAATCAAACGCGGCGCTTCAGTGCGGGGGAGCCAGCCCGGCTTGAGTATGGCTAGTCACACCTCGTTGCTTGGGCGGTGTTGAGGAGGGAAGTGGACTCGTCGCATTGGAAGCGTGCCATTCTTTGGCGTCGTCTGCGATGGGTCGGACTAGGTTATGGTGTCTTTGGTCCTGGTGGTCATGTACATAGGTACCATAGTGGAGTGGATGGGGTTGTCTTGGTAGAGGGGTGGTTATGACCTATAGTAGTGGGATCAAACAGGAGACTCGACGAGGAAGACCCAATTTGGTCCGTTTTGAATAAATGAATGGATAATCTTTCCTGGTGGATAAGGAGAATTAAGTGAGGACCGAGAAGGCTGGGCAGGCCGAGATGGGACCATATGGTACATGGGACAGGCCAATCAGCCCTGATGCCCGGCTACATCTCGGACTCATGCCTACGTCTAAATCTCCAGCAGAGATAATGTTGCTGGATTGGTAGATAATTAGATAACCTTGCGGGTTGACATCTCTCAGTTCCGCATTACCACGGTGGGTTGGTGTCATGGTATCTATAGTAAATAATCAAAACAGAAAGTTCATTTGCTAAACAACTAACATAGTGCCATGATCTAGATAAATACGCAACAACAAAGTATCTGGCACAAGCCCTAGTTGTAACCCTGGTGGTGCAGACAGTTCAACTGGTCCAGCTCACGGTTATATTGCTTGCGATACCCGAATTCAAAGTGACGAGTCATATGCCAACCTTTTTGCTTACGATCCTGCGCCATGTAAGCAACGTTTATACTCGTCCCATCAAGCTCTCTGGTCCTGAGATCGAGCTTGAAGCCCTTCGGAACCGTGAAGGGTTCCAGCTCGCCGATCCTGATGGGCTGCCGTTCCCCAATACCAAGGGTCACGGCGTACTGCGCACCAGATCCCTCTTCATCCTCTGCACATTTACACACCCAGGTCCTCGGCTGCTCTAGCTCCACCATAGGCAGGACGCTAAGTTGCCTGGACTCTCTATGCAAGCCGACCACGAAGTTCCGGAAAGGGTCAATGAGAGGGTACCTATCGTAGACGTGCCGCATGCTACCCAGGTCGAATAGCTCAACGCCCTGTGAACGGAAGAGTTTTCTGTCGGCGTCATACGCGTACTTGTGGATGTGTGCAACCCACGGCTTGCAGGCAAGATGGTAGGTCACCAGTGCGAAGGAGAGGTCGTTGCGGCGGGACGAGCACACGAGTTTTTTTCCAGCGCCGACGCAGCTCCTGACCCTGATGCGCTGTGCAAGCTCGCCTGTGGCCCCGTCGATAAAGCGCATCTCGCCGGTGATGCCATCGCCCTGGAAGTTCGTCGTCCAGAGCATTTCGCGCCCATGAAGCCGGACCACACGGACTTCGGGCAGCTGCGCAAATGGGACCTCGCTGGCGGCACGGAGCGTGTGCAGCCGGCGCCCTGTCTGCAGGTCGTCGACCTCGAGGTCTTTGCCCGTTGGCCCGTAGTAGTAGATCCGTTTGTACCCGATCAGGAAGGGGAAGTCGCAGACGTCCCAATAGTGCCGCGCGTAGCGTTTCGGGCGCGACCATATCTCCTGCCCCGTTTGGATGTCGACCATGTACTCCCTGGGTGGTGGTGGTACGTTAGTTAGTTTTCATAAGCCGGGTTAGGTCTCCAGGATAAAGAGCAGAAAAGGGAAAGGCAAACATACATGTGTTCCGGCTCGTCGTAACGGGCCTGGATATGGGAGGACTTGGGCAGCACCTTGTGTAGTTTTGCAAGGTGGTCGGGGCACTGAATAAGGATAAACAAGGCGTCTATTTCGGCGCATACATCCATATATCGGATTTTGCCGTGGGGAAGCTTGAACTTCAATGTCTGTTTTGGGTATGGCTGATGCAGCGTATTATCCTGGTACCCTGTCCACTGCCAGTAAATGGTGTCTCCGCGATCCCATGCAATGAACTTGCCGCTTCGCGTGTGGTGGTTAATGGTGGCCCAACTTGGGGAACCGAATGTTTTCCCTGACTTCCATCTCTCAATTGATGCCTGTTCCATTGCTGATGCAGAAGCATTAGTAGTTAGCTTGGTGATCACACAGTAGTTGGACGATTTAATAAAACAACTTACCACACTCGGCGAACTCCTCCCAGACCTGATATGGCTGTGGCGATGTTGTGGTAAACTTGCTCCTAAACTGTTTACACTCGCGGGGGAAGTGGACTCCTAGTCCGGTAGCCCCAATCCATTCCAGAACTGTTGCCTGCCATCTCTTGCTGACCAGCTGGCACCGGGCAAGATCTTGGATACTGAGGTACTGGATGACTTGGGCGCAGCAGTCGAAGTTCAACTTGTCAAACGGGTCGAGGTTAGCCATGGTGTAGATATTGATTAGCGTAGTGAGGTGTATTTCAGAGGATAATAAGAATCAAATAGATCTTAGTCAGAGGTCTTTTCTCGGCAGACGCGAGTTTATGCTTGTTTATATAGAGCTGAGGTGGCTTACACCTATCATTATTGTCTTTTGGCTGCGGCTTGCTTTGTGCATGCGGCCACGAAACATTGAAACATACACAGTGTTGAGACCACTTGAAAGTCTCTTTACATGAACATAATGCGAGAGGAGTCAATGGTTTCAAGTTCTTTCTCCATGAGCTCCTTCCACTTCAAGCATTGATTTCCTTCCTACAAAGGGTATGTACAATGAACCCGAATCCCTGGAGACAAAGAAAAGGCGTCGCCGTTCGTCACTCGACGCCCTGTGGAAGAGGCAGAATAATGGACCTTGCATTGTTATATCTTGCTTACTTTAGCTTGGCAGCTATTACACCTGCATTATTTACACAATAACCTTGATACACGAATCCAATTCTGGCTGCTGAGAGCTGGCCGGGGTGAGGGGGTAATATCTGTTTGTCTCGCCCAGCATCCATTCATAGAGGAACCTCTTCTATTCATATCAAATGCGTTGTATAACCTGGACCAGAGTAATGGGGGTCGAACTAGTGGACATGGTAAATCGGGGCCCGCTAGATAAGCAGTGCTATTGGGGGATTTATTCTGCAAGTGGACTTAAGTTTAACATCCACTTACCTACTACAGCAGGCCTACCGAGTATCCTAAGATCGCTAGGGTCGGAGGTAAGATACGAGGCCGGTTGCCTAGGGAGTAGTATAATGAGTGACAATATGCGAAATTGGCTATTGTATGTCTTGCTTCTTGGGAGCCGAGTATCTATATCCAACTGAACGGCCGGCTTCATGGCGGGAGAGTTGTCGGGTTGGGATCTTACTGTCTTGTGCTCCAAGAACTCTAAAGGGGAATGTAATCACGCTTCGGCCCCTAGATGAGCTATTGCAGTGTCAAAGGTTAGGAACTAGGCTAGAGACGTAACAGAATTGGATATGCATGGCTTGTCTGAGAAAAACTAACTCTGGCACGTAGCTGAGCTTACGACCTGATACATCAATCATGATCAGATGGTAGATAGACCGAGTATTCTGAACCCTAATTGAGCCGGACTCCCCGGTCCAGATTCAAACAGCCAGCCAATGCCCCGATAGCCGTTGCAAACCTACCCAGATACCTAGAAAAATGTGAGCGATTAAGCTTTCCGGGGTATACCGACAGTTCGGCCACAGCGTCATAGATTGACGCTGCTTGATAAGACCCTTTTTGAATGGTATAGATACTTATCAGCAGTCTACGCTCTATATTCCGATCCCTCACAACTTGACATCCACCCTAAAATCAACATGCACCTCCCTCTGCTCCTCGCAGCCCTAACCCTCCCGACCCTCGTGGTCCCGAGCGCGATCTCGCTGAACGACAAAGGCGAAAACGACCTAATGCCCGAGTCTGAGCCCGGCACCAATTCCAATCTCGAGAGGGCTACCATTGCGCTCGAGCTCAGCGTTCGCCTACCAGGCCACGCACTGCCAATTTTCGACGAAGAAAGCGGAAGCCGTAAGTCCCCTGATTACACGCTGCATCCGCATCAGCCGGAACCTTGGAAAGAATAAGCTAATGCTGTGCGGCTTAGAAAACTGCATCAAACGAGGCGAACGATGCTGTACGGACCCGGGATGCCCCCGATGCTGCGGACAGTTCGGATGCGCGTGGAAGAGAAATGAGCCGTACCCCAAGTGTCACTTTTAAGGGACTGTCCGGTGGGACAATTGGAGGCACTAGAAGTTTTCTTCATACCGTATAGCTTAAGATAAAATCATGTTACAATAACATGTGCTCTTTCGTTACTACATAGGCTGGAAGAGCAGTGCAAGTGGATGCTATATCCTGCGGAAAGTGAAAAATATCTTAACAATGCTAAGAAGACAACAGGATACCTGTATTAGTGGTTACCAGTGGAGGCGCAGATGCATCATAGACCTGAGTTTACTTAGGTGGTCTGACGGTCTGACCTCATGGGCAACACACGACGAATTTAACCGATGATTCATATAATCACCGTACTCCCTGTACCCTAGCTGGCCAGCGATCTTTTACTTTTATTCCATTCATACAGGGAATTCAACTCGAAATGCGTCTCGTCTCCATCCTCGCCGCCCTGACACTGCCCGCCTTCGCGGTACCCAGGGTCATCGTCCTAAATGACAAGGATGCTAAATATGTTAAAGACGGCCCTGCGCCCGAAAGTCATCTTCAGACGGACCGCGAAAGTACAGTTATCTCGCTGAAACTCGACATTGACCTCGGTCATGGCGGACAAGAGCCCCTGGACACCTGTAAGAGTCTGAGTGCACCTGGGCACACTATAGCATACAACGTGGGAAATGGAAGCTAACGCGTCCATGCTTTTGATATACAGACAAATGCGTCCCACACAACCATGTCTGCTGCGTCGGCCCGCAGTGCAATCAATGCTGCGGGCTTTGGAAATGCGATCATACCAAGGACGACCCTGTTCCGAAGTGCCGTGTACCTGGGGCTTGAGGAACTGGAGAGGCTGCGGAGGATTTGTTGACATTCCAGCCTTGGGGCGCCATAGATGTTCCATTTTCAGAGGTGTCAATCAGGCTATATGTAGTCGACGTGAAAAACTCGTTCAACTGGATGGATGTGAGGATCTCGAATCCCGACTGCATGAAAGGCGGTACCTAGATAGGTATGGCGTACCTTATCTCTAAAGTAAACTATTTCTCCCTATGCAACGAGTATGCTTTGACTATTGGATTAAAAGTTATCTTTAGGTCTTACGAATTCGCGATCCTAACCTCTTTCTGTAGGATAATGGGCCCTCCAACAACTGATACACAAAGCATAGAAATTTCTACGTCGATCTGGGGAGTATGAAGGTAGCTCCTACGGTTTCTGGGAATCAATCAAGGTATACGAGGCCAGCAGGATGTATGAAGCCATGGGACTTGTAGCGGAGCCGATGCCCGAATTAGCTGTAATGTTTTAGAGAGATGCGCGTACGGGGAGAGCCAGCTCGGAGAGTGAGAGTTGGTAGGGTATGGGGCTTGGAGAGACGGCCTTCAATGCCTGGAAAGTCCGGGAGGCTGGCGGGAAAAGGCGAAGGAAGCGTGAAAGAGAGCTATGGGAGGGTTGAATTCCAGAGGTGGCCTCCGGTTTAAAAGTGGACTATCCTGTTGCCTGTAGACTGCACCGCTCCCTGGGATCTGTGGGTAGAGAGAATATGTCCAAGGTACGGAAGTTGTCTGATAGGCTGTGGACGAGTCGTGACTATTGGTACAGGAATGACATTTCGATCATCGGTATAGGTGGCATTATTTATACCCGTGGACCCTGCCCATCAAGATACCGGTTTCTCCTTCTTCCTCCACCAACCCGGCAACATGACCTGCATCTCCATCTCCGGCGGCCGTCTATACGCATGATCCCAATCCATAGGCTCCATTAACCGATCAAAATAGTCGATGTAACAATGCACGGGCATGTACATCCAGCCAACGTCCTCATCCGGATCATCTGTAATCCCATCATGATACCCGTGGTCGTCGCAAATCTTATACTCACTATTGGGCCCAAGGACATCCCTAGCCGTTCTCGGCCGCACCCAGTCTCTGTTGAGAAGCTTAACAACAGGGCTGGACGGCATTTCATCCATCGACTCAAGACAGATCTCGTCGGCGAAGAGACAGTAGTTGAAGCGTGGGCCCAGGATATTTTGGAGCGGGTAGGGCACAGTCCGGGGCCCAAGGCCGGTGGCAAAGGCCGTGGGGTTCTGCATGCGGCCCGTTCGCGTCGTCGGGTCGACGAGGATGCGGGCGAGTTGCGTTTCGGTCCACTGTGTGAAGTGCTCACGGATGTCGTGCGATGTTGCCCCGTCCAGCTTGGGGTCTTCGATGACAGGTAGGTCGTGCGTGGGCAGGAGATCCAGGCGCCCCGTCTTTTCCAGGGTTGACGGCACGTGGGCCTGAATGAGCTCGACCAGCCGCTTCCAGGCCGAATCGTACTTCTCGGCGTAGGTGCAGCGGTATAATGCGAAGCCCCAGCGGGCAGCGCCTTGCTTGACTTTGCCTACCCCCGGGTAGTTTTCCGTTGATAGGCTAACGTCGATGTTTGACCATGTTGGCCGGTCCCAGGGTGGGCGCGGCTTGGGGTCGGTGGAGAAGGCCATACGGGGCTTGCATTGGATTCGATTGGAACGATGGAGGAGGAGGGAATGCCGAATGGTGGACGCCATTGCGGGGATGGATGCAGAGAAGAAGGGAGGTTGCCCAGGTGTTTTCTTGGAGGCCCCTGGATTAAGTAATCTCCCCTGCAGGGGGTGGTATGTGTTGCACGTGACCTCGCTTGTTTCTGGACTATATCTACACTTCCAAGTGGGCAAGGAGTGCAGGGTCAAGCATAGAGCGTTCAATCTCGGGGTGCAAAGCTCACTGATCATCTTTGGCCGATCTCCTCAGTACAGCCATATATTTCCTGAGTGTGCACCAGCATACCCATACCGTACGTTATATTGGATATAAGGACTGCCCTATAGGCAATTGGGTTTAATACTCTCGGTAAATACTACCTAGGACTCGAGGTTATAAACCTGAAGTCTTGTATTCACCAGAGATTGCCAGTACTATGAAAACGGATGCTTGGTAGGTTAAGACTCTTCAATTCATACTTACATGGCCTCTCTTTTATACATAAAACAGGGGCATTGAAAGAAAGAAGGTGGTGCAGGGTTAACTACCAATAACCCCAGCATGAAACAGTGCAATATAAAAACCTTCTAGGGAGTATGTTGGAGTATAAGGACATGTCTATAGCCAATTGACTCTAAGCTCTAGCAGTGTATGCTAACAAGTCATACAAACAGTCTACATTTACACGCCCACGCAGACAGCGTAGCCCAGCCATAGGGACGCACAATCCCCCCCAACACCAGGATTCCATGCAACGAAATCTGCCAGCGTAATCCCGTACTCATCCGCAATCGCCGCGCACCCATCTCCACTGGCCACGACATGCCACTTCATACAACCAGAGACGGCACCGGGCTGCGTCTCAGCGGGGGGTGTCGGGCTTGAGCTGTGCACACAGAGCTGAACGTAACCGTCGGTGATTTCACTGAACACTGAGCTCTCGCAGTCGGAGCCGGCCTTGATCCAGGGGTTGAGAGCTGAGACCGCAGATGTGGTGGTGTTGAACCTTGAGGAGAACATGTCGCATGAGAACAGACCTGACAAAGTATTGTTGTTAGCCATCTCGACATTCTCTCGAGCTGATTAAAGACGGGTCCTTACTTTCGTCCTCCGCACGGAACTGGATATAGCAACTGCATTCGGAGGGCTGGGCAGAGCTCTCTGGGATCAAGGTCGTGTTCGCCGAGAAGCAGTAGCTGTACGGGAACGTCTCCGCTGCTGTGGATGGGTTAACTTACTGCATACTGCAGCAATTTCAGGGAAGAAAGTCCTTACGCTCCGGCTCATGACTGATGCAGTAGCTATAGCTCAGGTCCATCGTACAGTTCCCGATCGACAGGCTAGGGTTCCACTGCACGAACGTCGCAAGGTCAACGCCAGCCTCATCCGCCCATGTCTCACACGCAGCCATATCAATACCCGCGTTTGGGCCTGCATCGAACGGGTTATCGTAGAAGTCGCAATCCTCTAGCGTTCCCGGTGCGTGAGGATTCAGGGTTGGCAAGGTAACAGGGACTGGGGTAAACGTGGCAGTTGTGGTGGGTTTGGGGAAGACATAGGCGGGCGTTGACGACGGATAGTCAGAGTACGTGTTGATGTCCCCGACAGCTTTGACGCAGTATGAAGTGTCGAGCCAGAGATTGGTGCAGTTGGTGTCGATTTGCGGGTTCAGGAATATCAAGTCTGCGAGGCTGATACTAAATTTGAGGGAGAGTATTGAGCAGGTATCGCCTTCTTGGACCTGCATGATCATCAATCACCGCGCCAAACAGGCAAACAGCCCTAGGTTTACGCACCTCGTACCAGGTGGCGCACTCGGTGTTCGACTGCGCCTGGGCGTCTGTAGGGACCGGAGCGGCCGTCGTTGAGGTGCTGTTTCCCTCGCCAACCGCGACGGAGCCACCGGGCGGGCTGTAGATGGTCTCGCATAAGCCTATGTGTACGTTGTAGGTGGAAGGGGAAGAGAAGACGTGTTTACCTAGCGCAAAGATGCCACCCCCTCCATGAAGCAAGGTTCGAGCAGCCACTGTTGATCATCGGGTTCCACGCGAGAAGCTGGGCCATTGTGATGTTCAGATCTGCCTGTATGGAGTCACACGTATCAAGCAGGTCAAGCTGCCAGATCGTGCAGTCCTCAGGGAGACATAAGACGCGGCCCTCTTTGAGCTCATTGCAGGAAACGGTCAGCGCGTTCTCGTTGATCAACCCATAGGTAGACACGTTATAATCTCCCGAGATCGAGACACAGGACTCGCCGTCCGCGACGGTATGGGATGCAGTGCATGTTGGGGTGTATGGAGTTGTCGTCGTGGTATTGAGTGCATATGCAGTTGGAGTTGCATAGGCGTAAGTGGTCTGGCTACAGCTCAACGTGAGGGACGCGAAATCCGCGGCGTCCTGTTCTGTGTATCCGAATGGGGACGCGAGTTGCTTCTGCTGCACCGCTAGCCCGCAGTACGAGCACTCTTGGTCCGCAGTGTAATTGGCGTCGCTTGATGTCCAGTTCGCCACGCTGATGTCGCAATAATCGCCAGAGGAGCTGGGAACGTTAGTCGGGCGCAGGGCTTTTATTTGAAAGCGGGAGCGACGAACGGGTCTTTGAGGCAGGAAAGTCCGATGGCGTATAACCAACGATCGACAATAAAGGTGGCTGTTTGCTTAGCTTCGTGAGTACTGGAAGGTTATTGATGTCTCTTCTTACCGGGATACGCGATACCCCCATCCGGCACCAGGACATCGGTGTCTGCATTGCAGGCCCCCAGAATCTCAGTGCGGAATTGGGTCAAGTCGCTGAGACACGAGGTCTCGCAGAGAGCTTGTAAACCCTCCTGAGGCACAACTTCCACACTGGGCTCACTGTTCATCGATTAGTGCTGTAGCTCACTATGGCTCTGGGCGTCCCACGTATATCCGGCATGTTGTCTCAACCAGTCCGGGCAGGACGACACTGTAGTATTGATCACCGAGAAACAAGAGTCGCTGAGGCCGAGTAGGTCATAGGGCGCCTGGTCACCTTGCAGCTGCTGTCCGGCGACAATGGGTATACCCAGCAGCCAGGGGATTGTGGTTCGCAGTGTTTGCAGCATGATGAGAGGTCTGCTATGAGGGACCTTTCGACCCTAGTGCAGCAGGGTCGGTGAAAGTAATCCTGAATCAGAAGAGAGGACCTCTCAACATTTAGCATCGATATTTGTTTTGATGAAATATAATCTCTGCTCATACCTAGTCCGATATCCGGAGGCCCCTTTCCCTTTTCTCTTAGGAGAACCTTCCACCGAGAGGTTCGAGAAGGATGAAAGGGTTCAATAGTCGATATCCCAAACCGGCCAAAGTAACAAGGATGCACGTTTAGCGCCTCATAGCCCAGCATTCCCAGATGGTGGACCTAGGTAGCATTCCGAGGTGACCCTGGAATGTAGGGTGCCAGGGGCTCATGTGGCTAACCCTGATTAGGGCATTGGTGCCTGGGCTAGGCTTGTCTCACCTAGGAAAAGGCCCCAGGCCGCTAGCCCCTAGGTCATGGATTAATCCTTCTAGTCTACTAGGTAGCGGTCAAAAGTGCCCTATTTTCCCCCCATCTTGAGCTGATGGTGGGGATAACGAAGGATTTTGCATCGAGCGTATTGAAACCTTCATCTTAATGTTCTTGGGAGACCACGTCCACTTACCAATCGTTACCATACGTTCCTTGAGCATTCAGTTGCTGCATCCGCTGCACTGCCCATCGAGCAAAAGAAATTCGTGAGGACCTCCACCTTGTGCCCTGCGGCTACTGAATACTGAGTATGCAGGGGCTTGCATATCCCACCGCCGCCATTCTCCCGGAACAACCGACAAGGCCTCAGCATATTACGGCGAAATCTGACAGACGCCAGGGAACGGTTCGGTCCTTACCCGCCAACGCGCTCACGGTTCCTCCTTGATACCCTCCGCTTGGGTATGCATCGGAGATCACCTGCCTACAGTGGAAACACCTGGATGGCGTTGGGTTGTGGAATGCAATTGAATATCAACTGTATAATGTGGTGTTACATTCTTCCATCCACAGACTATCAGGTAATGCCATCCCTTTATCCATTAAACCAATGTTGTCAGACTGCTGGCTGTTGTCGGCATCCACTGGCCAGTACATCTGAGTCTAAGCATACCTAGGCGAATGCACCAGTGAAACACCGGATAGGGGGAAAGGTAGCCTGTTGCCTCATAGCAGGCGGGAAACACAGAAACAACGAGGGAAAGAGCGCGGCCGAAATCGGACTTGTTCCTTCCTCAGCCAACAGCGAGATTCAATCAAATACCCCCAATTTCCTTTCATTTCAGTCAGACACGCAGACTGAAGGTTGTTTCCGTTCTGTTCAAGTTGCCCAGAATGTGGTCAAGACTGAGCCTCGCACTGCTGCTTTGTTGTCTCATTTTGTCCCAGGCCAGATCGAGTTTTCACCGTCATGGACTTGTTTCTCCTTCCCTGGGAAGTCGTCGGGACGACTACTCGTGCTCTGCCAGCAGTATGTGACTGGGATAACTTTGTTCGGATCATTACTGATCTCGTCATAGACCCATGCAGCAACGGAGCGTGCTGTGGTGGTGAGTCTATATTTCCTAAGCTAACTTCTGTCGAACACTAATGGAGTACCAGTTGGGGGTTACTGCGGTTACGGACCAACATACTGCGGCGATGGGTGCGTGAGCAACTGCAATGCTACCGCTGAATGCGGCCAGTACGCCGAGCCTGCGAACACGACATGTCCGCTAAACACCTGGTATCCTTCCGCAGTGGCCACGAATAATCGAGGAGAAATTATGGCTGACCGGGCTTAGTTGTTCCCAATATGGTTTCTGTGGTACCACGGATGGTTCGTTGTCTGCTCAGCTTGCTGCTAGTTTTACATTATTCAACTGACGAATGATAGAGTTCTGTAACAAGGACTGCCAGTCCAACTGCGAGCTTCATCCGAAACCTTCAAGTGGATCTACAAAGAACAAGGCGCTGTCCAAGGGTACCACGCAATTGCCCCAATCACGAGAAGCAGTATTGATAGTTTGCCAGTTATTGGATACTACGAGGCATGGAGTGATCGGTCTAAATGCCATCAGACTTCACCCTCTGATCTGCCAGTGGATGCGTTGACGCACGTTAATTATGCCTTTGCTTACGTCGATCCAAGCACCTACGACATCACCACGATGGATGCCGCCACGCCAGTTCGGATATTCGGCGATATTACTGCACTGAAAATTACCAATCCCAGCTTGAAGATTTATGTTAGCATCGGTGGCTGGACGTTCTCCGACAACGACACGGTAACTCAGCCAGTCTTTGGAGACATTGCCGGCCATTCCGCAAACCGCGAGACATTTGCAAACAATCTCCTCAAGTTCATGGACCAGTATGGGTTTGATGGAGTTGATCTCGACTGGTCTGTTTGTCCGCTCTTATCCTGTGGCCCGAATCCATGGCTAACCGTGAATGCAGGGAGTATCCTGGTGCTGGTGACCGTGGTGGGAAGGAAGAAGATACCAAGAACTACGTACTGCTTATGGAGACAATCCGCAAGCGTTTCACGAAATCTGGTCGAGATCTCGGTCTGACCTTTACTGCACCTTCGTCTTATTGGTACATGCGCTGGTTTGACTTGCCAGGGATGCTTAAATACGCTGACTGGATGAATCTAGTATGCTTCTGGGACTTGCAATTTCCTTTTAGAGGTTTGCTAACTGTTGACAGATGTCATACGATCTTCATGGAGTTTGGGACAGCAGTAACCCAATGTAAGGAGCCACCTTTGACCAATATTGAAACTGGGTCACTGACAGAATGCAGCGGGTCCGTTCTTCATGCACACACCAACCTCACAGAGATCAAACTGGCCGCTGAGCTGCTGTGGAGAGTAAACGTAAAGCCACACCAGGTCGCTCTGGGATTCGGCTTCTATGGCCGTTCCTTTACGCTGTCGGATCCCACATGCACGACAATCGGATGCCCCTTCAGCGGAGGCGCAGACCCGGGAGTTTGCAGCGAAACGAGCGGCTATCTTGCTTATTACGAGATTGACAAGATCCTGTCTAACGACTCTAGCATTGAGGTCCACCACGACAAAGAGGCCGCCGTAAAATACTTTACGTGGAACAACGATCAATGGATCTCGTACGATGACAAGGAGACGTTTGAGCAGAAGGTCGAATGGGCAAATAGCGTGGGCTTCTCAGGTTCCTTGATATGGGCATCTGACCAGGATACATACGACTTCGACGCCCACAAAGGCCTGACCGGGAAAGAAGACCTAGGAAGCTCCGAAAATCCCCGCGTACTAGGCCTGGCGATGCCTCTGGTTCAGGAGCTGGACTTTGAATTGGGGAGAGGATGCGTGAAACGAGATGAGGTCGTTGACCTTGACAACCCACAGGCGTCGAGCTGCTCGCCTTCCGTACGGGTCGGATACGACAAGGCCGGATGTAAAGGCGGTGATGTAAGTGTGATAAACCTCAAGATGCTTCCAAGCTCTAATATGGCCCGTCCAGGGGGAATGCGGTAAGCCGATATGCTGTGGCGCCCAGTCAGGCCTGAAGAACTGTCAATGGCGCGGTGGAAGCGGCGGTAAGGGTAGCGACTGCAACGGACAATGCCACGCCGGCGAGGTCAAAATCAGCTCGTCCAGCTGGGGAGGCACCCCCGGAGAGTCCGGAACAGGCAGATGTGGACGTGGAAGCAAGGCACTTTGCTGCGAAATGGGCACGTTTGATACGCTGCTCGCTGAGTGCTATTGGACCTCCGGCAATGGAAAGAGCTGCGACGACGGCGATGAAGAAGTCGCTCATAAATGGGAGGGTAACTCGATGAGCACAGTGCTCAGCCACGGAAGCAGTTATTGCTGTCCGAAGGCTGACAAGATGCCGCTGGAGAACTGCCACTGGGTCGGCAAAGGGGACTGTGCTGATAACACCTGCTCCGCGTCGGAGGTGACCCTTCTCACAGACAACCGAGGTGACAGCTACTCCGGATGCAACTGGGGTCGAAAGAAGGCTCTCTGCTGCACGCCAAATACGGAAGCTCTCCAAAAGATGGATTGCAATGTCGATGTTTGCGACACGCTCAACGAGGACTACGACTGTGACGACGAAGATGGCATTCCCGTTTCCCCAGTTTACAGCTTCAACAAGCGCTCGTATCAGGTGAACGATGGCCAGGTGATGTGGGAATACGATTCCCCACACTGGCTTGAGAAAAGAGCTGGAGCAAAGCCCAAACCGGGCGATCCCCGGACCATGGTTGTGGCCCTCACGACCATGTTTAAGAGTGCCATTTTCGAGGATGTGCATGTCACCACTCGCTCGTACAGGCCTGGACTGGATTTGTTCAAGTATGACGGAGCCAACACGTTGGGTATCAAGGGAGCATATGACCTGGCCAGCACCACCTGCAGCAGCACCGCCATGCAATTCGTCAAGCTCGCTGATATAGCCACTCGGGCCGGGCGTGCAAAATGGAGCGCCGAGCACATGCAGGAGTTCCAGATGATCCCGATGTTCCTCAGGAACGCCATTAGCGGCGTCCTCCCGTCCGGTGCAATCATGAAGGCTGGCAAGCTGGATCCCTACATATTTATGACGACATGGCGCGCCCCATATGATGTCTCGCTGCCGCAGATTGGAGAGCTAGTCACGGACCTTGCCTCGTGGGCTCCTCCATTGACCCCGAACGACCGCATCTTCGAAGTCATGGGATCCGCCGCCTACCGCACCGGCATGACACTGGTCCCGAAAGGCCTCAACGGGGTAAAGGCTAGTCTGTTTGGACTCAAAGACCCAGTCGGGTACGAAAACTTTGAGACTCTGATGGAAGGCACGGCAGCTGGGGACAGCGAACAAGCTAAACTCCTCGCCGCCAACCTCCACGAGACAGTCGCCGTCTTCAATTACATGAACGACGCGTACCTCCGCACGTACCTCGATATGGCAAGGGTCAAGTTGGCGAACGAGTGGATGAACTACGAGAACTACAAGGGCGTGGAAAACATCGGGGCCATGTGGAAGGAGTGGGAAGAGGACTTTTATGCAACTGTTGTGGACAACGCCGCCACATTCATGGAAAGGAGTCTTGCGAAGATCGAGCTGGGCTTCACGGCGCAGGCGGCTTTCAATAATCCTGCGGTTACCCAGCTTCTTTTTACGGCGGGCATGCTGCGGAAGAATCTGAAGCAGATTCGCTTTTCCACGAATTAGGGCTATTTAGACTTTGGCCCGTTGGATGATTGGATATTACTGGCTTGCTTGGTAGTAGACCACCACTTGGCCCGGCATACGGTATAGGACCACCTCATATATCGGGATTGCCTGACTGTCCGTGAGCTCAGCTGCATCGGCGGCAGTATGGGAAGACGTAGTAGAGTAGACAATATGCCGCTTCGTTAGCGAGCCATTTTCTTGTGTATATAAAAAATCAGGTCATTCGTTGGATAAGGTCTAGACACCGAGAACAAGATGACCTGTTGTTGCACCGATTGATTAACTGGAGTTGTGTCTATATTCTGTCCTGATAGGGTGAAGGGGTGCGCTCGACCTAGTTGACATGGATTTATTTATATATGACCTATCTGTTCTTCTATGCCATACCCAAAGCGAGCGGCATCTGTTATATGGTACACTAACGTTGCGCCATCCTACAATAGATTGAATCGGTTGATACTTGCCTACTATATCTTGTCAGCATGTATTGCTAGACCATCAAAGCCAACTAGCATTACACCTGTCCTTGTCTTCGAGTACATCCAAGCCCGATAGCCTCAAGCTATGGCTTCGTCTCCCAAATATGGAAGGTAGGGCCGAGAATATCCCGAACATTATGCGCAAGGTTAGTGCGAAACGGGGTTGACTAGTGGAAGAGTTTATCCTTTGTTCCACACTGGCGCTTACTTTCTCTGCTGTGACCACGCCACCTTTAACCCTGGATGTTGCACTCTCACAATGACCACCGTCCTCAAGAGTTGCTTTTGGCCACACGCGCTGAGTCACGCCCACTCTCATCGATACCTAATCACCTATACCCTTAAGCGCCGCGCAGCTGCAACCTTTTCCACCAACGCCGACCCAAATATCATTCCGCCGTGGATGCGTCCTCTGCGAGACATCGACGAAACCCTCTTGGAGCCTGTAGCATTAAAGAAAGGAGCTGCCCGCTGGGGCTTCGCGTTATTCCGATGTAACTATGATGACAAGTACACCTCCAACTGGAAGCGGATGGTTGGTCTCCTCGACGAAACGGTGAGGAGAAGCCTCGAGCTCGAGGAACCGGATCGACTGGATTTGCTCCCGACACATCAACTTTCCATAATTGAGGACCCGGTCAGGTTGGATGGGGCTTCGTCCCATGTCGTTCGAGATGCGTTCACGCAGTGGACTGAGAAGGAGCTCGCGCGCATCCTGGAACACCCGATGCCAACGAAACGAACTGATGGCATGCAAGACATCATGGGTCCGCGGTTCAACTTCTGCATCTTCGTCGACGACATCTGTCTCGAGTCCCTAGACGAGACGCCAGGTCGACCCGTCGTCAAAATGCTCATCAGAGACTGGGAGAAGCCAGCAGACCCCATGGATGTATTAGGGCCGTACAAAGATCCCATCTACAGACTCTGTGATGACCATGGCTATGAGGACGGTGTGTCGGATGATCCCGGTGAGGATGTTGGCTGGATGTACATCCAGGTGTGCAACTACGTCGAGTATTTCAACCGGTTTGTGTTGACGCCCAATTGGGATGTTTGGTATAGGAGGCCCCCGGGGCTGGAGAATTGGGGGTCAAGGGTTATGTTGCCTGGTGGGTGGAGGAAGAAAGCTTGATAGCCCGGTGCAGGTGTATTGCAGGTGTCGCTGGTAAATCTTCTCAATGTCTTTTTAGCCATCTTGTACTGACCTCGACGGGTTTTACCTGGTGTCTTTCCTAATAACGTCCCATTATCTCTGATAGATCTAAGCTTACCGCATAAACCCCTGTCGTGCGTTGAACTATACACCGTCCCTGGCTTTACAACTAAGCAAAGGTGTGAAAGGAGACATGGAGTTAAGGATTTTTTTATTGTTTATCTATCCAGCAGTTACAGACCTCTTGAATGGGCGGTTTATACTGTCAAAGACATACTCCGAACAACGACCAATCATGGTTCAGCCAGGTAATGTCTTGGCGCTTAGTCATTTGTCCGCCAGCCCCTTGCTAACCGCCACACTCTCGCATCCCTGTCCACTCCATGAACAGACGCTTCTAAGGTTACTTTTCTATTCTTTGGCATACTCCGATGTCCGCCTTTCGACGGTTGCTATATGTATCGAGGCGCACAATGCTTTCCTTCGTTAGAAAGTCCCCATGGCAACTTCCCCCCAACTCTGCCCCTTCAATCCCTCAGCATGAAGTGGTGGACGAGGAGGTGTGCCCGAGGTACAATGCAGCCTCCTTCTATCCAGCTAGGCCCGGCGAGTTGATTGCGAAAAAGTATCAACTACTAGTCAAGATTGGTTGGGGTTCACAATCAACTGTCTGGCTTGCTCGAGACATTTCAACGTACCATCCCGTGTCAACTCTCGTCACGTCGTTTGTGTGCTGACAAAGTGAACATTATCAAGGTTAAAATGGCAGTCAGAACACACTGTCGCGCTGAAAATAGCTAACAGGGATGGCTCAAGCAATGTGCAGTATGAGAAGGAGATTGAACGCCACATTGCCAGGAAGAATCCTTCCCATCGTGGTGCAGCGATCGTCCGAACTTGTCTGGATGGCTTTGAGATACCGGGTCCGCAGGGGAACCACATGTGTCTGGTCTACGAGCCAATGAGAGAGCCATTCTGGGTGTTCCAGAGGCGATTCCCGGGTCGAAGGATCCCTCTACTGATCGCAAAGCTGTATATTTGGTTCATCCTCCATGGCCTTGACTATCTTCACTCTGAGTGCCGAGTTGTTCATACCGGTAAGTTCCACACCAATGCTCCGCTGTTCGAGTCACGCTATACCAACCAAGCATCTTCCAGACTTGAAGCTGGCCAATATCCTCATGAGCTTCGAGAACGAGAACGTTCTTGCATCCTTCATCAACCAACAACGGGAGCAGCAAATGGAGTACAAGATCGACTCCACTGCCGGCCGCGCAGTCTACCGCTGCCACAATGACTTCGGCCGCATCGATGGAAAAGAGGTGAAGCACATGTATCCCCGGATAACCGATTTCGGGTTGGCAACGCGGCTCGACGAACCCTCTGCCCCCGCGAGGGACGGCATGGTCGCACAACAGCTAGGCTTGTATCCAATCCAACCAGATTACTACCGTGCACCGGAGGTCATCCTCGGCTGTGGCTGGGACTTTAAGGCTGATATCTGGAACTTTGGCGTGCTCGTAAGTTCTTCTTGGCTGGCAGTATCACCTATGCCTCGCTCTATCGCCATCATACCATGGGATCTAAATGAAAACTGATCATCGTCGATACTAGATGTGGAATATCATAGGCGCCACGGAGCTTTTCCAGAAGGTACAAGATGCACAGGGACAGTACGACGCAAAGTCACATCTCGCAGAGATTGTGGCCCTCCTGGGTCCACCGCCAAAGGAATTGCTCAAACGGTCAAACTTCATGTCGCAGCATGACTGGCCTTCACCACTCATAACAGAGGAAGGCAATACATACCGTAATGCACGCGAGTGCTTTGGTGGGCCATTCTTCGATGCAGAAGGTACTTTGATAAGCATCCCTCCATGAGAGTTTAATGTGGTCATTTGACTAAGTTACCCCAGGCGCGTTCATAGACCCCGACTCGGTGCCTATCCGGAATCTGGAAGATACCATTTCATTTCTAGAGGACAAAGATAGGCCCGCATTCCTCTCATTTGCCCGCGATATGCTCGCTTGGGATCCGGCGAAAAGAAAGACGGCGCGCGAGCTAATGGATCACCCTTTCCTCAAACTTGACAAATGAGCCTCCAGTTCCAACCGCTAACCAGGAATATGTCTTACGCCACGGCACCGGATGTGACGTTAGACTCATTTAGACCTCATACCGGGGGCCTCGGACTCAGTATCTGGCGCCGTCGAGTTATAACCGGCATCTGCGAAGTGGTGTGGTCGTTAAGGAGCCGCTGCAGCAGCCACGTGAGCACCGTACCAGGCTTGCTCTTGGGATAGCCAATGTTAGTAGGCCAAAGGGTTGTGACGCATTGCTAAGATAGCACTGTCTAGGTGGAGCTTCGTTCCTCGGCTTTTGCGTGTAACAGTTCCGGCTTCGCTTGGGAAGCGTTCATAAGCCTATATAGCCTGTATATGTTTTGACTGCTAATTATGAGTTTCTTCCTCTACCTACGCGACCTCCTGTTCCTTGATTCGCCTGTCATTCGGAACATACCGGAGAAATATGTATGGATATAGGAGATGGGAAGGAACCGCCATAAATCCAGGCGGGAGGCTATGTTAAAGATCAGGGTCAGGCACTGGGAGACCATGCCAACGGCTCATATACTGTAAGGTTTATTGGAAAGGGATTTGACAGGTGTGTCGGGTTAATCAAAGGCATAAATGCATTAGGATGGGCGATGTACAGGAGAGAAGTGATCACGTGAAAAGCTGACAGGGTTTTGACTAAGCACGGAAGTCTGGTGACTCAGCAAGATTTTGGGGCGGCTCGGCCGTTCCTTTTTTAGTTCTCGAGACACGACAGGGATCGCCCGTTGTTTTTCAACCGGATTCATCGTCAGTTCGAAGCCATTTGATCTCACCACGATTACTGGGAGATCTTCTTTTTCTAACTGAGCATCTTTGCTGATCGCTGGTGGTGACGGCAACTCGTTGCCAGGTCTCGTCGGTGTTGATTAGTTGTGTTCTCGGCGCGCCCTCGTTTCCTTTACAGAAGTTTCCACTAGAGTTTAGCGAAACGCGAATCCCATTAGCGATAGGTACATGAAGACGTCTAAGCCGCTCAAAGAGTATATCGGAAATCAGGCGATCCCTCGATGATCTTCTCGCCCCGGTCGGCCTTCTGGTTGCTCCTCCAAAAGTACAAACTCAACGCCCCAACAACGATGATAAGACACAGCTGGCATCTACACTCGGTTAGTCCAAGTCATCCGCGAGACACACACTCTCAGAACTCACGTTATAACAGCCCAGATCCCCGGGACATAGTCGGGAGCGTCCTGCGATCGAAACACCAAGCTCCCCGCGATACCGCCGATTCCACCGAATGCAACGAGCGTCGCACTAGCGAATGCCCGAGTCCACTGTCCGCGGATGTTGTTCGCTTGGTAGGCCATACTTGCCGGGATATTGGCGTTCACGCCGGCCGTCGTCAGGAAGACACCGAAGTAGCGAACCGCCGAGCTATCGGCGAATCCCATGATCGGCAGACCAACGAGGGTGACGAGACTGTTGAAGATGAGGATAGGAGCACGCATCCGGTACCGGTCTGCGACCCATGAGGTGGTTACCATGAGGATACCTGCGAGTGCGTACGGGGGTGCGGTCAGGCATTGTGCCTCGGCGACGTCGAAGCCCATGTTGTCGCGCAGGATAATGGGTAGGAAGTACGCGATTCCGTACGTGACAGTGGTGGTGGCGCTGCAAGCTTGGTCAGTCCAAATACACTATCCGTTTGGGGGAAGAGGGTCGAACAAGAAGATGAACGCGAACGCCCAGATCTTCAGATCTAACGCGGGTCGGAGGAACTTGACGATGTCGAATGGCTCCGGGCTGGCGTCTGCTCGATCTCTGTCAAGCCGGCGCAGGATGAAAGCACACTCCCTTTCGTTCAGGAAACCCCAAGCGTTGTAGCCTTTGTCGGGGAAGTCAACGACAAAGACCATGCATAGGATACCGATGATGAATGTGACCTGACGCTGTCAGCATCCCTCAATACTATCGACAAAGTGCCCTTACCACCGCCTGCATGATGAAGATCCACTGCCATCCGTTAAGGCCTTGGAGCGGTGCCATCTGGCTGAAGCCGTAGGCAAGGATACCGGACAGCGCCGACGCAAAACAGCCGATCAGGTAGAAGAATGAATATCGCTTTTGCACCTCATCTGGGAGACAAGTGGTCAGTGTTATCCGGACCGAATATCCCGAGCTCAAGAACTAACATCGCGAATACCAGCAGGACAGCAGATACACCGCGCCGGGGAAGAAGCCCGCCTCGAGGATACCAAGAACTGCGCGCAAGCCAGCCAGCGACTGCCAATCCGGGGCGTACGCAAAACCCTAAGAAGTAACAGTTGAGTGCGGCTCATCATGGCAAAGAAAATGACGTACGATCAGGCATGCACCCCAGGACATCACAAGAACCGAGATGAAGATTCGCGGACCGATCTTTCGGATGATTGCGGTTGCCAGTGGCTGGAAGACGATGTAGGTGACAAAGAATACCAGCACCATTGTCGACTATCGTACGCTCGTCAGAAGAGATTGCATTCATTTGATATGGGTCACAAACATATCGAAAGCCGATATACAATTCCAGGTCCTCCATCATTCTAGCCAAACTCAGAGTCAGAGACGGTCTCCAAGTGAACGGATAACGTTACCCAGCAATTGCGGCTATCGACACGTTTGTGCGGTCCATCAAGCTGATGCAGTACGCAGCGCCAATCATGGTGACCAGTCGGCGGTCAACGCGATGGATGATTTTTCGCTGTTCTTCGTACGTGAATTCCTCATCAACGTCGATGTCAACCACGGGCTTTGCACCGCGAGGGCTATCGACGTGTTCGACATTCTCAGTGGAGATATGGTCGCCGGATGATTTCTCAATGTCGTTTACCATGTTGGCGGATTGAATCAAAATACACTGGCACTTGCGGAAAGAAGCGTACGTGAAAGGTGGGACGACCGCGGGGCGACATGGGGATCTTTATACCCCTAGCGTCCAGAAGTTGCAGAATGGTTAGCTGCATCTGATGTTGTATTGACACCCGGCTCCCATTCAATGTCGGCGAATCAAAGCGACAAATTCACCGACAACATGAGGGGAACCCTTGGCAACGCCTTCTTGCCTTTTGGTAGTCATATCAACCGGTCGCGATATCAGTATGCCAGGCAGACTAGCATCAGGCGATATGGTATCCCAACAAAGTCGTCCATGTCCAGAATCGAGGATACCCTCGGCATTGGTCGGTTATTCTACGAGGTGCCCGCCCTTGCCAAAGCTTAACGCCACAGCTCGGTCTCCCCGAGCTTTGTTGAAAGAAGGGAATAGCTGGTAGTCGTGGCAGAGCAAGTACGCTGTGGCCGGGCAGCACTGTTCGGGATGTTGCAGGCATACTGTGGCCAAGCTTAACGTTTGTACGATGCAGCATCGACGAGATGCAAATATCTATTCCGCGGGTGCTTGGAGCTCGACAAGATGCAGGAAAATGCCCAGGAGCCAGAGCTTCTACCCCGCATATTAGCATCGTCTTCCCCAGGTGCCACTGCCATGGCAATCCCCACTGCCCCACGCGGAACCCCAGAGTCTGCGATCCTTCCTGAATCATGTCGACAACGAACAACGCTTTCCTCAGCTCCTGCTCGCCTCCGCCTCGGGGCATTCATGATGTGGCACCCCGCGAGCTCCCAATCCGGAAGTTTGCTCCTAGTGCACCCGGATCCCAGCTGACCTCCATTAACCACCCAGATCCTCTTGTCTCTGCCAAGCATCCTCTCTTTGTGCAAGACATGGAATGCCTTGTGAGCATAAAGAACAGCGCGTATCCGGAGACCCGGAGTTTCCAAGTCCGACCGTCTGTTGTGCCGTGCAGCAGTCACGATTTTCATCGATTTCTGGCTTCGGACCACAAGCTTATTTGGGTGAATAAGTCCAGCCAAGCTGAATCGCCTTTTAGCCTAGCAGAATCTACGTCAACTCGAGATGTTCTAGCCATGACTCCTCAAGGACGTCATTATTGACATCTGTTTATCCATTTCGTGTCCTATCCTATGCCGACCGGACTTTATCTCCGCTTCCGCTTTTCGACGCGTGAGATGATTGAGATATATTGAAGCTCAGAAAAAGGATCACGAGTTATAGAAAGCTTTCAACAACATCCCTCAGCTGCGGTTCGCTGAGCTGCTCCACTTCTAACAAGTTATTATCTAGATGGCTCGAGAAGTCGCACCCGTACTCGGGGTCCCAAGAGCCGACAATACAAAAGCCCAGCATTGCAGCCTCAACGTCACCACTGGGCCTTTCCAACTCCGCCAGACTCTCCCATCTAACCTCTTCCGTTGCCTTAACATTCACGACCCATTTCACTGCATCATTATCGATGGCATATCGGATCAGTTGGTTCTGCGTGATCCGCGCAGAATGAACGTACACGATTCTGTTTGCAGTTCTATCCCGGTGCTCAATAACGCCCACAACAGCCTTCGCAACGTCCCTCAGCAGCGTCGCACTAAACGGAACATTGCCTCCATTGTACAGCGTTGCAGAGTGTTGCTTGAGGTCAAGTATGATGCCGGCTTCCAAACACCAGTCGAGAAATAGGCCGTTCGCAACACCCGTCCAGCTAAATCCAGCGTTTGCAGCGACCTTCTCGTCCAAATATCTTTGAGTCGCAGCCTTCGGCGCACAAACCGGCAATTGGACACTCAGCGGATTGCGAGAGTCCATGCCAAACTCCGCCGGAATGAATCGCTTTACACCAACGGCAACGGAGGCATCAATGAGTGGGTTCTGGCTTCCGATCGCGGATGTTGCATAGCAGGAGATTACGACTTCAGCTTGAGCAGCCTTCAATGCAGTCGTTAAGGACTCGGTCGAGGTAAAATCAGTTTCCTTGATCGTGAGATTTGGGTGTGCCTGGAGCTTCGATGAATTCCCACCGATTCGCGAGAGGACAGTTACGGTGTGGTTTGCGTCAAGAAGGGCGCGCAAGATTGGGATGCCGAGATTGCCTGTTGCGCCGGCAAGGGCGATTCTTATGGACGACATTACTTCAGGTTGGGCGAGGTGAGTGATTTGTTCTCAGTGATTTGTTCTGTTGACTGTCATATATCTCGACATCCTCCGGTTATTTACTAATCATTTGTAACAGGTCCGACAGTTGGAGGTTGCAATTTGTAAGGTGATCAATGGGGCTCGTTCTCGCAGTCTATCAGGGAGACATCTCCCCGTCTACAACGGTAAGTCTCCGGCGTAGGGCTAACAGAGATATCTAGAGTCCGTCTTGGAGGTTGCATCACTTGCCTTTCCCGTTGACTCAGTGTGGCTTTTCGACGTGACACAGATAGATATCTCACTCGCCATTCGCTGTCCTTGGAGCACTTGTGCAACATGAGATTGCCTGTTCCACCCAGATTCGGTCTGAACACCAGACATTCGCCTCCTATTCCTTGTATGACAGAGGGCAGAGCCATTCTCCACGTTCAGTTTCATTAACCATTTAAACTCGGATCCTGCAAGCGTTAGTCACGATTTACAGAGCCTCCCTCTCTTGTCTCATCGAGTGAGCAGAACTTCAGCCCCGCAAGGCTCCGCAGGGGATCCTTGTCCTAGCATTTTCCCAATCAGGAGCCCGACCATCAGCGATCTCACCCTCAAAAGTGTCAAAAATGTCGGAGCCTGCCGATCGTGGAAGAGTCATCAAGACTCATCTAAAGAATCTTCAACGGCGGAGTCATTCATACTACTGAAGGATTTGTTAATGGGTACTATATGTTGCTGTAGAGAGCAATTCCTCATGCCAAGCAGCTGATTGACAATGTCCTCTCCTCTCAGCCTTGGGGCCTCAGCGGCTTCCTGCGCGGTCGCGGTCTTGCTGTCAATTCCCCACGGCCACACTCTCATTACCCGCTTTCGATGCGACAAGTCGTACACATTGACCGATACAGACAGCGACGATGTTATTACCACTGGAAAATATCCACGGTCGCTGGCGCAGCGCGTCTGTCTTGTTGCGGTTGGCGTTGTAGCGGTTACCACCGCCTTATGTTCGTTGATGAGCAGAACAATCACGATACCCCAGGTCCTTCAATGCATATCATGGGTAAGATAAGCATCTTCGAGTACTCACAAGATGCTAACATCACAGGTGGTTATTCTTTTCCAAAATCTTGTCATCTTGCGCAGTCGAAATCCCATGGACAGGTATAACCTGGGATGGTATACTGCCTTAGCGACTCTCGTAACGGCGATATCCGTTTCTTTGCCGTATGCTCTGGCGCTTTACAATGGAGAGCATCTACCTACACCTGGTGCCCATCATGCCGCGACAATTGTCCAGCTCTTGGTGGCGGTGATTTTGTTCCTCGTCAACCTATCCCTGCCACGAGGGCCAACAATCTACCGCGACGGCCGCCCCATTGACGCCCAAGACTCCGTTTCCTTCCTCAACCGATACACCTTCTTCTGGGCATACCGAACAATGTCGCTCGCGATGAAAAAAGGAAAGCTGGATCCGGAAGATCTCCCGCTCGTTCCTGAAGAGGCCCGCGCACAGACTCTCACCGACAGGTTCCTCTCCGCCGACCCAACGTCTGTCCGGTGGCGCAAGTGGATGAAGCTTTACTGGCGGCCTGCTGTATTACAGGTGACTATCCAGCTTACCGCTGCCGTGGTGGGCTTTTTGCCGAACATACTGTTGCTCACCATACTGCGACTATTCGAGGACCGCGATGCCGGCGCGGACAATCAACTTCAACTGTGGTTGACTGCTCTGGGCCTGGGCTCGGCCATGATTGCAAACTCGTGGCTGATCGCTCTCCGAGATTTTATCGCTGACTTGAAGATCTCACTCCCTATCAACCAGCAGCTCATTGCTGTCGTATCGAAGAAATCGTTGGGCCTGAAGGACGTGGCAGTTCCAGCACGCGATAACAGCAGCGACGATAGCGAGGACGAAGAAGATGACGGCGACGAGAAACCTCCGCAATCAAAACATTCCATCTTGAATCTCCTTGGCGTTGACGTCGAGAAAGTGTCTGGTTTCATCGCCTACAGCCATCTCCTGCTCGACTGCGTAGTCGACTCCATCCTCACATCCGCGTTCCTGGTGTATCTGATGGGCTGGAAGGCGACAGCGGCTGGCTGCATTATCCCGGTCCTCCTGGTACCCTTTTACTACAGCATAACAAAGCGCTACAGCGAGAAAGAACAAGCCCTGATGGAGCGCCGCGACGAGAAATCCGCCTCGCTGACGGAAATGATCCACGGGATCCGGCAGATCAAGTTCAGCGCCCTCGAGGCAGAATGGTTCAACAAGATCCAGAAGCTGCGAGGGAAAGAACTGCGCGAACAAAAGGCCGTCTTTTGGATGAACATCGTCCTCAATGGGATGTACACGCTTGTTCCAATTTTCATGAGCTGCTTCTCTATTGCAGCTTATGTTTACCTGAACGGGAGTATATCTCCGTCTACTGCCTTTACAGCGCTGTCGCTTTTTGATACACTGCGGAACACGATTTGTATCCTTCCTGAGGTTGTGACTGAGCTTCTGGATGCGAAGGTTAGTCTAGGGCGGATTGCAAGATTCTTGGGCTTGGAGGATCATGCCGATGGGAGGGTGGCTGATTATGGAGACGGAAATGGAATGACCTTCGACAACGCGACCATTGCGTGGCCGTCCAATCGCGAGAATACAAAAGACGAGGTCGAAGGCGCGGAGACATTCCTACTCAAGGAACTCAATCTCAGTTTTCCGTCCCAAGCGCTGAGTATTATTTCCGGCCGCAGCGGCGCTGGCAAGTCACTACTCCTTCAAGCACTTATTGGCGAAGCGGACGTCGTCAAGGGCAATGTCGTCGTTCCTCTTCCTAAAGCCGATGCTGGCCCTTCTTCTACAGACGACTGGCTTGTTAGAGGGTCGGTCGCGTACGTCTCTCAAGACCCATGGATCGAAAACGCGACGATTCGTGACTCAATCTTGTTCGGCCTTCAGTTCAATCCTGCTCGATACGAGGAAGTGCTACACGCTTGTGCGCTCCGACCCGATCTGAATATCTTCCCAGATGGCGATAAAACCGATATTGGCGCCAACGGAATCAACCTCAGTGGTGGTCAGAAGTGGCGGCTGGCATTGGCGCGGGCCCTCTACAGCCGAGCAAGCATTCTCGTGCTTGATGACATCTTTAGCGCTGTTGATGCTCATGTTGGTCAACATTTATACGAGAATGCATTGACAGGGAGCTTGGCTGAAGGGAGAACCAGGGTGTTGGCCACGCATCATGTGAGGCTATGTCTGCAGAGCGCTGCATATGTTGTCAAATTGGACAACGGACGCGTTGTTCACGCACGACACCAAGATACCTCTGAAGAAGTCGCCCCCGAGACTACAGATAGTTCTCAGGCACCGAGCAGAGCGGGCTCACCAGATCCAATTAAGCCAATCCGCCGAGAATCAGTTTCAGTTTCAGCGACCAAGAAGTTCTATGAGGAAGAGAAGCGCGAGACTGGTGTCATCAAGGCCAAGGTGTACAATGCATACATCGACGCATCTGGGGGCTATAGTCCTTGGCTAGTAACAGCAGCCTTCCTGATTATCTTGCTTCTGCTCAATCTCGCGATCCCTTACTGGGTGTCCATCTGGACAAGATCGTACGAGACAGACAGAGATAAAGGTGACACACTGTTTGCACAATCCGGCGACATGATTGACTTGTCCCCGATCGCAGTATCGTCACCTATCCTTGATACGCGGCTAATCTTCTACGGCTCCATCTACATTGGTATTTCGCTTGGCGCCTGGATTCTGGAGGTAATCCGCATCGGCATTATCCTCCATAGCTCGCTCAAGGCATCCAAGACCATGTTCGAACAGTTTACCACGACAATCCTTCACGCGCCAATGCGTTTTCTGGATACAACGCCTGTCGGTCAGATCCTGAACAGATTCACATCCGACTTTGGTACCCTAGACTCGGATATCGCGCTTGACCTCGCATACCTGCTCCACGATGTGACGACGGTCCTAGCTGTGATTGTCGCCGCCACTGTCACCTCTCCTCTTATTGTCGGTCTAGGTATTCTTTCTCTGGGCGCTTCCTGGATTATTGGGTACATCTACGTGACTGGAGCACGCGAAGCGAAGCGACTACAAAGCATAGCAAAGTCGCCAATCTTCGACCTAGTCGGCTCGCTCCTAACAGGCCTCCCTACGATCCGAGCTTTCGGACGCGAGCAGGCGTACCTAAAGCGGATGTACGATCTCATTGACACCTACTGCCAGGCCCTCTGGCACAGAAAGCTCTTCGCTTCATGGCGGGCGATTTGGCTCAGCGCGGTTGGAGCTGTATTCGTCGCCGCCGTAACAATGACCTTCGTCAGCATCCGCACCCTCGATGCCCCTCTCGCCGGCTTCGCCCTTAGCTTTGCACTCGACATGTCGTCCAACATCACCTGGCTGTTGTCGCAATATGCCTCGCTCGAAATCGACTCGAACGCCGCGGAGCGCATCGTCGAGTACACACAACTAGAGCAGGAGCCGCAATCTGGCACCGATGTCCCGGCTGGCTGGCCGAATAGGGGTGAGGTTGAGGTTACGGACCTGACTGTTGCGTATTCACCGGACCTCCCTCCTGTCCTTAAAAATCTGAACTTCGTTATCCCTGCTGGTCAGCGCGTGGGTGTTGTTGGACGGACGGGTGCCGGCAAGTCGAGTTTCGCGATGACGCTGCTCCGATGTCTGGATGTCAGAACGGGAAGCATTCACATTGATGGCGTTGATATTGCGGGTATCAGACTACGTGATCTGCGTGAGCGCGTGGGCCTCATCTCGCAAGACCCGGTTGTGTTTGCGGGAAGTGTACGGCAGGTCCTTGATCCATTTAATCAACATGACGACCGCGAGCTGCTCGTCGCGCTGGAGAAAGTCGGGCTGTCTTCTCCTGCTCAGCCATTCCTAATCGAGGACACTGACACTGACACCACTCCATCCACTCTCTCCTTAACAACCCCCATAGCAAGCAGCGGCAAAAACCTCTCCCAAGGCCAACGCCAACTCCTCTGCCTCGCGCGCGCACTCGTATCCCGCCCAAAGACTCTGATAATGGACGAAGCAACCGCAAGCATCGACATGGAGTCCGACCAGCGGATCCAGCGCGCGCTACGGGAGGAAGTTTCGGCGTGGGGGTGTACCTTGATTGTCATTGCGCACCGGCTGAGTACAATTGCGGACTTTGATTGCGTGGTTGTACTTGAGAGGGGTGAGGTTGTGGAGATGGGTGCTCCGAGGGATTTAATGGGAATTGTGGATGGGGTGTTTCGGGGGATGGTGATGGGGTCTGGTGAGCGGGGGGTGGTGGAGGGGGTGTTTTTTGGGGACGGTAAGTAAACCTCCCTGTAGATTTTTCTCCTACTTTCTTGCGTATGTTCTCCTTTCTGCTATTCTGTTATAGACTATGATTTCTCGTAAAGGGTATTTTGATAGATAAAAGTGCTTTGCTCACTGCGTATATCTATCTTGATTAGAAGTACTCCTGTTATTCCCAGTTCATCCCAACCAAGCCGAGTGTACCTAAGGCACGAAACAACAGCTTGTTCCCATGCAATGGTCGCTGAGTTGGACCTGAAACGTTACAAAAGTATTACAATATAAGCAGAGGCCTACCTATATTGCCACTTAGTTGTTGGTGTCTCGCGGTATAAACGCTAACAGGATACTACCATAGTTTGACGCTCCATTCATCCCCGTCTCTCCAGCCGCCCGAATAACCGGACGTTGTTCAGTAGGGTAGGTGCCGGGCGTCTGGATGTAAAGGACATTTATTCCTATGGACCTAACAAGTGACGATACTCGGAGGCTGTCTGGGAAAGGCTGGAGAGGTCCATCGCTGGGGTGGCTGGAGGAGTCCGGGTTCGTGTGTTACGGCTGTAGGGGAGCCAGAGCGATGACTATACCCACGTATATATATCGGTATTCCCCATCACACAATCAGATTGCTCCGTCAACTCGCATCTCGCGCACACAATCTCGACGTTAAAGCCGCATCCCTAGCCCCACAACCGCCTGATAGCTACCCCTCAGCCCTGCCTCCATTGCCAAATGCTCAACCCCCCGGCCGCGAAAGGGGACAGAGTCATGCGACAACTTAGTTGACTTCACTGATTAATGTTTACTTTTACTCTATTTACCGCTCTGTGAGGGTGTATTTCAACAACCATCCGATATGGTGTAATGGTTAACATCGCCCTCTTTCACAGGGCAGCTCGGGGTTCGATTCCCCGTGTCGGAATCACTTTTTGTTTTTTGGCTGTGGGGTCGCGGGTACCGTAGAGACAAAGGCAACGCCGCTCATACCGGCATCAAACATTCGATTCTAGCACTCCGCAAACTACCTAGGTATCTAGCTAAAAATGTCCTTACAAATTGATTCCTCAGAGCCCCCCAGAAAAGCGTGCCAGTCTCACACTCTCAACTCCACAACCCCATCCCCGCGCTCCGGGAACGCCTGGAAGGCAACCCGCAGCCCGGCCTCCCTCGCCAGCAGCGCAAACTCCTCTGCACTCCGCTCCCGCCCCCCCATCGCAACAATCATCGCCGCGTGCAGAAACGCCATGTGCGTACTCCGCTTGAACTCATGCACCAGGACGCGCGAATACGGCGCCATTGCGGCGCGGAGCTTCGCTAGCAACCGGATCGCGTCGGCGTCGGGGAGGTTGTGCAGGACGTGCGCGAGGTGGTAGATCACCGCGCCCTTGATCGGTTGCTCTTCGGCCTCGGCCTCGGCCTTGTAGTCCCACTGCATGACGGTCACGCCGGGGGTGAGTCCAAGGTCCGGGTTGAATTCCTGCACGACGAGGTCTTGTTCCGTCAGGTTCAGATCAGACAGGGCGTCGCGGAGGTGCAGGAGGAGTTCGCCGCGCCCGCCGCCGACATCGACCATTTTGATTGCGGTGGCTGGGATGTCCGGGTTTTGGAGGACGGCGCGGATATCGTAGCCTAGGTTTTGCAGGCGGGCGGCGTTGTCCTCGACGGCGAAGAACTTGCCCGTCATGAAGGTGTTGAAGCTGGCCATTCGCCCGCACTCGGCCATGACGCTGTACATGTGGCTCTTTGCGAAGCGCTCGTTGCCCATTTGGCTGTGGGCGAATTGGAAGGGCGTCTCGCGCTCGCGGAAGGGGTATGCGAAGTTTGTGGCGCGGAGTTTGGGGAGGAGGAATGCGGATGCGAGCAGCATTTCGGTGGCGCTGGGTATGGTTACCATCGAAGGTTGAACAACTTGGAAGCAGTCGTGGACGGGGCCTTACAAGTGAATACCCCCGTGCAGCGCTGACGGGTGCGCGACTAGATGTTGGGTAAGCGCATTGGCGCTGAATGTGTTTTCCGCCGGCGATTCGACGAGCCCCAGGCCGGCCATTGCGTGTAATGTGTCGTCTATTCGCTAGTTAGAACCATGGTGTTGGGTATATCGGTCAGTAGGCCGGGGGGGGGGGTGGGTAGGGCATACGGATAAGCGGTGCTCCTGACGCGACAAGACAAGGTCAGATCCATATGAAACAATCGCAACTCTTATTAATGGACGGCATACCCGGAACGAGCGCCTTTCCATCTCCATAACTGCCCTTGTAGGCATCTATAACTTGGTCGACAGTAGCTGGCTGCCCGTATGTGACCAAGATGTCGAAGAGCTTGAATTCAGCGGCGACCGGCACGAAACCGAGGAGAGGTGCCTAGAGCGTGTTAGCACAGTGAGCACCAAGGGCGGGGGAGATAGACATACACTGGTAAAGATCTTGGTGACAGCGGGTCCAGGCGCAACGGAAGCCATGTTTTGATTAAGCGGAGGGCGTGGCATAAAAACAAGGAGGGAAAGAGAGAGAGAAACTGACGAGATATTTGGAAGGGTCCTCTTTATAGACTTCGGGCGTCCAGTACCACGAGCCGGAATTGACGGTCGTGGGATTGGCACCGATACTAAATCCAGGACCACTCGAGCAGTGTTACGCTCGGCGGATTTCTTCGGCTCATCTTTAAGGTTGGAGTGCAGATTGGTCGACGAACTGGCGATCAACTCTGAGTGGTTCAGGCAACATTCGATAAAGGCAAAGCAGGCTGGAAGTAGGCTGATAGGTCAGCTCCTCTCGAGCTGAAGTCTATACCAAGAGGCCGGCGTTGCACATGGATATCCCTCTCAGAGGTTTCTAGTCAGCATGAATTCAGCTCAGATCCCGGACTGTAGGGGTGTACCCTGCTGTCTTCATAGAATCCCAGACCTCCGATTGGACTGCAGCGGTGTCGTCCAAAATGCACATCGAAGCAAAAGCAAACTGAAACAAGAGAAAGGGAGTCATCAGGCAAGAATGCCAGGGTCCCCTGTGATCGTTTCAATCGCAACCATGCTGTGGTTGCTTGTTCTCGCGCTCTACACCCTCTCTTGCATCGCATTCCTCCTGCGCAGCCGATTGCTCGCTCGCGAGACAGACCTTCGTATATCCTTTTTCCCGTCCAAGAGCGGAACCTGTTCTACGTGGCCGCCTGCCACTGCGGTGGTTGTGGTACATTGACGAGAACTGCTGCGGCATGATCTGGCGGACTATATCCTCGACAGCTCGTATCAGCATCGATGGGCTGTCAAGGAGAGGATGGCGAGGAGATACGGTGGTGTGCATCTCTTTGTCACGCCTGGCAGGATTAATGTTCATGTTTGAGATGCGGGCGTTGAGACGCAGGTGTGCCGCGATAGGCGGGGGTTTGTTAAGAGCATTAAGGATCGAGTATCCATCATTATGAATCGGCTTTAGTAGATATCGATAAACGCATCTGCAGACCAAAGGCAGCGAATGGGCCTACCATCACCGGCGCACAGCTCCGGCCATCAACGAGAAAAAGCAATGCCCGGCAACAAGGCGAGCTTCCTTACACGAAATGGCGGCCTAGACGGCCTCTCTGGCTCCGTACTCGAATATAAAACAATCCATAAGCCGTTTCACGGGTTGTACATCCCCTTCAGCGACGGGGAAAGCGCATATGTGGGCAAGAAGTTCGTGCAGGCCGAGTGTGTCGCTGTCCTTGCGGTTTTATTTAGACAGCAAAGGGTGAGTCTGGGACAGCTGCGTGGTGAGTGCCGTCAGGACGCAAGAGGAAGGGTTGGGAGGGCGCTGGGGGGTTGCTGGGCGCCGCTGACGCCGGGGATGATGCCCGAGGAGGTGCCGCTTGTTTTTGGGGTGACTGGTGAATCTGCTACTGGTCGATGAATACCATACCTTCAGCCTCACCAGCACCATGATCAACCTATTCTTACCATTACCTCCGTATATTCCACCAGGGCTAATGGGCTTGAAAGTGTCGGGACGAAATAAACTTCCGATGTCGAATCGTGATGTCATTTGCAGTGTGACGGTGCCTTCAAACTCAAACAGACGCCTGGAACTGTCCAAACGCACCAGCATCTCAACCGGCGCCAAGTGCAGAAGATAGTTATCCCGCCTGGCGAACCCGTTGCTCAGAATGAAGGTCTGTTCTGCAGTCTGTTCTGTTCTAATCGCCCCATTCCTCGTGCCCCTGACCTCCGGCCAGCCGGAGTACATTGGGAGAGTAAGTCCATCTGCACGGCCTCCTTTTATAGACAGCTTCTGACTCTGCACCCGATGTTGTCCAGATCAGATTCAATACTCACAATGGGGTTAAGCTCTTCCCCGCCCCGGACTTTTGTCTGTCTACCATCGATAATCAGTGCGTGCCCTATATCCGCAAACACTCACCCGCAAGCTCAAGGCGGCGGTTCGGCGCTTCCCACAAAGAGATCCTTGCTCATGGCAATACCCAATATGTTCTTCAGACCAGTCCGAGCAAATGAACTGCAAATCACTGCGGGTGCAGACACGAAGGCACTTCGATGCCAATTCTACGCGTACGTCTGATCTATCAGCACGGGCTACGGCTCTTCGTGTTCGAGCTGACGCTTGTTATGTTCGATAGGGACTCCGGTTGCGGTGATCTGCAGTTTACGTTGAGCTCTCAGGCCATCGCCCTACTGGACGAGTATGTTGAGCTGCGGAGCTGGCAATGTGAAATGATTCGGGATATTTAAGGGTTATAAAATGCATAACTGCGCGGTCTGACTGCTTTTATTCTGCCTCTGAGTATACAATGAGCTCCAAGCAAGTTCAGGGGCGATTTTTACTCTCTGTACGGAATGAATGGATATCCTAGCTGTTAGCTAATCGCTATCAGTGCAAGTGGACCGATCAGACGGTGTAAGACTGATATGCTCCGTCTTGTAGTAACCAGGCTGCAGCCGAAAGCATGTTTTAATGTTGACATATATTTTGGAGGATGCCCTAGGTATCCATGATCTCCCAAAATAAATGAGGGAAAAGACCTTACTTGTAGGAGCGACATTGTCACTAGTTTCTGGACACCATCCAACCCAACAAAGTACCATAATATCTGTAAAGGTAGACCGGAACCCAAGGACGCGACAGAGCCCTAAAACAAACCTCCCCGTTCACCAGGTGTATGGCTAGCCTGAGCCTCAAAGCAAACCATATCTCTTCGATGTGTTAAGTCTTCTTCAAAACCCAGCTATGTAAACATGACAAAATAGTCATCAAGCTGTGCACTCAGTGTTGAGACGATATGGCGTTGTGATCCCGGATACCAGGAGACTTGGTTATCTGCCTATAGTTCGATCGTTTGTCTTGGGAAACCTACCATAGGTATCTGAGTGCTCGACGCTGGCATATTAGGTAGTTTGCTAATGAAAGGGACGTCATATATATGAACATTGGGAGTTGGAGTTGCCAACCATGACTAAAGGAAGCAAGGCTGAAGCCATCCATGCTCTATATAGAACAGATTCACGCTCACAGGCCAAGGTATCCATCTATTAGGAGAATGGCAGAGCATCTCAGGTCCACATGGCCATTGCACTCGGGACTGAAATGACAGCATATGGTCTTGACGGCGGCCTGTTTAATAGCGTTGGGTCATTACTAGTATCGCCTCGATTTCCGCAGCCTGGACCTATGGTTGTGATGGTCTTTCTGCTATAGAATGAGCTTTCCTCTCACCATGAGGCGAGGCCCTTTAAGTGGAGACAATGATGGTAAAAAGGGATATTAGGAGCACTTATTAATGATAATACAGAATACTGAACTATGAAATAAAAGTTGTTAACTGTAAACGAATGGCTGTCCAGAACTCTGAACACTATGAAAATCTCTCATCCCCAGCCACTAGCCGTCTAAGAATGATTAGCTATGATCCTGCGGATGCAACGTATCCCCCTGAACAGGAGGCCGATTGTACTGCCTCGGGAACCCAAACTCCACAAAGCGCACCGCTCTGCAGTCGCCGCAAGCGGCACAGAGGTGACCCGGGCAGTCTTCAGGTGGCTTACACTTGAATGTCGGATGCATGTCAATGGCAAGGTTAGTCCCCTGGATGACCATCTCACCATCAGGCTCATACTTACAGCCATGATCAGGCACAGAAGGAATCTGCTGTCCAAGCAAGCCCCGTCCATTCGCCGGCCGCGGGCTGAATAACGGCTTCCGACCTACCACGGTCCCCGTTGCAAGCCCATAGTACTCAACGCGCGGCACGCGGGGATTTGAGCGCGGCACGATCGGCATAACCACGACCTCGGGGTGTGCGGCGCGCCCTCGAGCCCGGTTCCTGTCCGGCTCCCCCGCCTCGTCCAGGACGCCCACCATGAAGCCGCGGAACGGGTCGAGCTCGATCCTGCTGTAATCCGCGTACAGCGCGTCGAGGTCGACCTCTTCCACGAGCTCGCTCAGGAAGTTCGCTGCCTCGTCGATCGTGTACGTGTGCATGGCGAGGATCTTGCGGCCCAGCGTGTCGGGCTCGAAGGAGTACGCGAGGACCGCGAAGGCTAGCGGTCCGTGGCGGCGCTCGGGGACCATGATCCTGGCCCGTGTCAATGGCTTCCGAGGGTCGTTTGCCAGGTTCAGCCCAATGGAGCCCATTACTGAGCCGTTGGTCCTGGTGAACCGGATCTCGCTGTCGTAGCCGCCGCGGTAGCCGATGACGTCCGTGTGCAGGGTCATGAGCACCTCGGAGCCTCCTAGGCGCACGATGCGCAGCTCCGGCAGGTTCTCCACGTTGATGGTGTCGTTGCCTGTGGGGATGGTAAGGGTGCCGCGCGGCTCGCCGGTGCGGATGTCGAACATCTCCACCGTGCTCTGGCCTGCCGGGTCTTCTTCGCCATTCGCAAGCACCTCGTACATCGTCGTCCAGCCGAACTTGAAGTGCCGGTTGTAATCTGTCCGGTGATCTCGGGGGTAGACTCCATCGCTCCGGGCCCAGAGGCCGTCGCCGGTCTGCAGATCAACCATGTATTGCCTGCCATACGAATTAGCATACTCGCCGTCAGTTGCAGGGAGTGAAGGAGGACAGTAGTCTACTTACATATGCTCTGGCTGCTCGTAGGCCTGCTCATAGCCTTGCCTCCTCCTCGAGCTCCTGGGCATCCACTTCGCCAGCTTCGCAAGACCCCTTGCCGCCCCGCGGGCGAAAATCAGGAACAGCGTCTCGGCCTCCGTGCAGACAGCCATGTGCTTCATCGGCACGGACAGCTTACCTAGGTTTATCTGCTTATCCGGGTACGGCGTCCCCTTGGAGTCCTGATACCCCGCCCACCGCCAGTAAACCGAGTGATCCTCCGCCTGCCAAACGATGAACTTGCCCGCGCGCACGTAGTGTCGACACACGAGTTCGGTGGTACTCACTGGACGCCCACCAACCCACCGTTCATACAGCGCGGTCTCCGACGCGCTCTCGGCAAACTCCTCCCACCGCTGGTATGGCTCGCCGCCGCTTTCCCCGACCGTCGCCAGGAACGCAGCGTGGCTGTCGGGGAAGTGCTTCTTGAGCCCGTGGTTTGCGATGTAGTCCCGTGTGCGGTCGCGCCAGGCGCGGTTTACGCGCTGGCAGGCGGCGATGTCGTGGATGTTGTCGAGGTTCTGGAGGATGAGGATTGCGCAGTCGTGGTTGAGGAATGTGGAGGCGGGTGAGGGTGAGGGTGAAGATGAGGTGGAAGATGAAGGAGCCATTGTTGCTGGTTCTGGTTAACGCTGGATATGTTTGGAATAGCCTGATAGCTGGTTAGTCAAGTCGATGCTATCTGGGTTGGCAGTCATCGGAGCGGACTGTGTCTAGTTATTTATACATCGTCCTTTCGTCCAAGGGCCATTGTCTTCCTTTCAGGGCATAGCACAATGGCGTCAAAGGTCTTGTCCTCGAGGTTATTGATATGACACGCCTTTTGCATCAGTGTTGGCTGCTCAAGGATCTTTGTGTCTATGTTATTAGGGATGGTCGAGACAATTCCAGGTGTCAAAGCGGCTTTATACACACAGTTCCCCGGGACTCATTGTCCAATCGATGCTCCTCATGAAATGCCAAGTCAGGTACCTGTGTAATTAGGTAAGAAACTCGAGTGGTGCTAGGGTCAGCAATTCTTTGTTGAGATGCAGGGAGTCCCCAACCTTCCTAACCCCCAGCCATCTCTCCTTTTGGTCTTCCACCCTTCCGGTCCTGCAAATCTTGCATTTCACCTCATAATCTCTTCACCTGCTACAAATGCCGGGAAAGATCTCTGCCGAGCATCCAGAATGCTTCAAGCGACTGAACAACCAGGTCTCCCTATGGCCCGCCCAGCCCTCGCCGGAGAAAAGCCGCACGTTACTTGTCCTCTGCGCCTGGCTCTTCGCCTCGCAGCGACACATCCTGAAATACGTCCAGCTCTACCAGGAGGAATACCCCAATGCAGATATCCTCCTCATCCAGCCCGTCGTCGGCGATATGGTCTGGACGTCTGATGCGTCGCAGTTGAAGACACTTGACCCGGCGGTTGATGTGCTCAGGTCGTTCACCGCAACATCAAATGCCGGCATTCGATTCCACGTCTTCTCTAATGCTGGGAGTCATGCTGCAGTACAACTGGTTGAGGCACATAGCAAGAACTATCCGACTACTGAATTACGTATCAACGCGTTGGTTCTCGATAGCTGTCCCGGTTCGCCGTCCGCAATTCTTTCGGCGAATGCTATGATCCTTGCTCTTCCGCGGAACTTCCTGGTCAGGATACCTGGGACAGTGTTGATTTACCTTGCTATTGCTGTCGTGGCGATACTGGATGCACTGGGCTTGTCGGAGAATGTCATCTCCAAGACGCGTCGACATCTGAATGATCCGGGACTGCTGTTTCTTCGTCCGGGGGTTCAGAGGACGTACGTTTATTCAAAGTCCGACCGGATGGTTCCGTATCAAGATATCCTGGAGCATGCAAAGGAGGCTACAAGCAGACTTAGGGATCCTTCCAGTGACGGTACGGTGTGGACTGTGGAGTTCAACGGCAGCGGACATGTTGGACACCTTGCTGTCGACAGGGAGAAGTATCATGGTGCAATCTTTTGATTTGACCATTGAGTTACTTTACATCGACGCGGGAGCTCAGTCTTGAGCTCACGACCTTTCCTCCCTCTCCAGATTCGCCCTCGCCCTACTGACAAGCTCAAACAACTTCATCGTGGCCAGACTATCCAGAAACTCAACGCACTTAACAACCTTCTCCCCACTCTTATCCATCGTGAGCATAAACACGTACTCCCCCTGATACTCCCACTCCTCCCTATCAAGACCATCATCCCTCACCTCCTCTCTCCACTCCGTCTTGCCGCTCGCCCAAACAACAACCTGGTTCCCGCTCTCACTCTCGATATATTCCTTCGCGGATACCGGGAAGCCCGTCATCACGGCTTTGAGTTTCGTGGTGTGCTCGAGCCAGGCGGCTTTGGTGAATGGTCCGGGGGCGTTTAGCGAAGCCGGGGCGAATTCATGGTGGTAATTCTCTGTCAGGAGGGGTTCCAGCAGTGCATTGTCGAGGGCCGCGAAGAAGGAGATGAACTTTTGGGCTGTGAGGAGGCGTTGGGTGGGCATTTTATAATCTGATCTGGATGGAGTTTTTGTCTTTTAATGGCTCTGTTGTTCCTCATTCTATCGTTGGGAATGCATAGCACTATATACCTGGAATACGTCCTTGCAGGGCTTCGCTTAACCCCGAAGTTGTCGGTCTCCGCACCGGCGTTATGAGCCAGCTGTCTCTTGGCAGCTGAGCAGCCTTACCTATCTACCGTAGGCGGGAGGCCTGAAAAACTGGGCTCAGCACCGTAAGCAGGGCTTCAAGCAGGCATATCAGACGGGTGTGGGTGCGTACTCCGGAGTACGCATCGATCGGCATCGAGTGGTGTCCACCGCACATTTTTGTTTTTAAGTTTATCGACCTGCCGAACAACTGCTTGAATGAACATTGCTCAGGAGGAAATCTCGGTACGGAGTACCTGGAGGGCTGTTTGTTGTTCTAGCCCAAGATGTCACTCAATCAGCTTGACTGTCTCTCTAGCCTTGCAGCACATCATCACTCTGTAGCTTGAAGCCTAGGTTGCTCAAGAAGTCTCTAGGGCCAGTCGCACATATCATGAGGGTGGCAAACAAAATGGCCATACTCAGGCTCCTGGTCATAACTCGCCCTTAGGCTAGGCATCATTCCGTTTCTACCTAGTCCAGTAGAGCCTGCTAGGACTCAGTTAGAGGGAACTGTTAGTAGACCCTTCTAGAACAGATCAGTCTTTGCCCGGATGACTAGAAGCCTACAAACGCGTAAATAGAGGGCCTGCCCCAGTTTCTGCCCTTAACAGTCAGCTATCATAGAACTGCATCCACTATGAATTTCTGATTCGGGGGTCGATACCGATACCGAGGGCGCGTGGAAAGGCCACGAGATTAGCGCTGCCTGGACATACCATCTCTACCGGTTTGACGGGAGCGAATACAGGTCCACTATGTCTTCCCGACCGAGGGCTTCCGCGAGCTGAGCCCCTGGCAATCGTGCGAGCTGAAACGGCGGGTCACGGAGTTTCCGGACGGGAGGGGCTCCCTTAAAGTTGGCGATAGGCTAAGGTATGGATTTAAGGGGTGCGCACTGGACTGGTGGGATTGGGGCAGTTGGACGGATCATCTGGATATGGTTGTGAAGGTTCATGGGGAGGGTAATGGGGGACGCCCGGAGCTGGTGGTTCCCGCGAGTAATTTGATTGAGTTCACAGTTGCGGAGTAGAGCAGCGTTGGGGGAGGCAGTTAGTGTTTGGCAGCATGGACTTGATGCCCAAATATGGTTTGGCATAGATAGCCCAATCCGATATAGTAGGGAAGGAGTTATTCTTCGTCATCTACTCGATGCCCCAACAGCGGCTCCCTCTCCCTCTCACTGCCCAGCTCAGGCGAAACATGACCAGAGCCCTTCCCCCGAGACCTACGCCGCAAAGCCAATCCCAGAATCAGCGCTTGCCCAAGCGAAAACACCAAAGCATCCAGTATAATCCACCCATTGACCATGAACCAAAAGTAGAAAGTCGACGGGATCGAAAGACTGAGGCTAAATACCCATGCCACGGTAAGAAGCGCATAAACCACTGCCTGCGCTGCCAGACCCGGCAGACTGAGCGCATTGGGGACAGGGGCGGCGAGAACACGACGGGCCTGCAGGGAAATACCGAAGATACACAAGGCCGCAATAATCTGGTAAATCAGCATCGAGTGGACCGCGTAGAAGACCGACAACACGACTTCGCGATCCAGGTGGTTGTCGCTGTCGATCGCCAGTGGCCAGATGGCGTCGACGACCACAGGGACGATGGAAACGAGGAGGAAGGCGATGTAGCTCAGGACGAGCTTTATCCGTGTCCACCAGGTCTTGCTGTAGATGACGACTTGCATGAATCTAAGTCGAAGGGCAGCATTAGATCTTTTCAACGGAGGGTGCGGGCCAGACTTAACATACAGAACCAGCGAGACAAATGCGACAACCACGCAATGCCACAGGGTAAACCAATCCCCTGCGCTTGGGGGGGAATGCAGAAAGACAGCGCCCTCCTCGGTTTTGGTAATAGAGCATAGCCCGAAGACAAAGATCGCGACCGGCTCGGTGGCGCGAATTAAGTTCCACAGAATATACCGCGAGGAAACGCCATTAGTGGTCTTTTTTCCGGTGAAACCGCAGGATCTGAGGTACGTATGAGGCCACCGTGAGGATCAAGGGAATGCTGTCCAGTTCCAATTAGCATAGAGATCGCTTGTTGAGGGTTTATTCGGCACTTACGTGCGTAACCAAATGGGCGGCTCTGGGAGTGACATTTCGCCTACTTCGTCCATTGTTGAAGATGACACCTGGCAGGGGTTTGATGCAGAGACGAGAGCTGTAGCAGGATTGAAGCAAACTTGAGGAATCTCGGGGTCCAAGCGAGGTTAGACGCTTGGGCTCTGGTGGGTCAGGGACTACCTTGATAAAGCTTAGGGCTGAGGGTCTGCCAGGGCTTGACAAATACTGGAGTGCTAATTGGTATGGGCGCGGGCAAGAGCTCCTACTCGGAGGGAGTTAAGACTACCCAAATAGTAATACAGGGGAAGGATATCCTCAGCCTGGAAAGATAATTCTCTGCCAGGCGTTCGGCTACATGGGCTCGGCAAGCACGGCTATTTGCCTGAACTTGGGGAGTCATTGCGGCCTGCTTTCAATGCTTTGCCACTGTCTCCCACGTGAGTTGATACTAAGCTTTTTCTCTACGTGGTATGACGAGTCACCGGCCAAACCAAGCAACTGACCCTGTCTTTGTCGTATTCATCACTCCCCTCAAGGTTGCGCCCAACATGCCACCCCAAGCCGGCGTCAAAGCGGGCGCCATCAGCGTCCGCGCCAGGGCAACCACCGAAATCAAAGGCTTCTACCTCGGCGCTGGGTGTATCCCATTTCCTGGGCGTGCAGTTCGCGCGTATCCCCGCCCGCTTCCGGCATGCCCAGCCTGTGACCCCCGATAGTGCAGCTGTTGATGGCGTCGTCGACGCAACGGCATATGGGCCCGTTGCTCCCCAGCCATCTGACGGCTCGCGCGGGACTCGACAGCACCTGTTTGCGGGTGCACCGGAGGCGAATCCGGCGCAGGACGAGTTCGAGTGTCTTCGGCTGAATGTCTACACGCCCGAGTCGGTGGTGTCTTCGAGCGCTGCCGCGACAGTGCCCGTCCTTGTCTGGATCCATGGAGGGGGGTGGGCGTTTAAGAATGGGAATACGGACTACTATGTAATAACCCTTCTGCTGGTGGTCCACCGAGCCGTCTTCTTTGAATAACCGTTTGCTAATACACATCGCCCTCGAGCAGCTGGGGATTTCCTCGTCCGCCACTCAGTTGACCAGGGGAAGCCGATTGTCTTCGTCTCCATCAACTACCGCCTGGGATTCCTCGGCTTCAGCTCATCCGCAGAGCTGGCCGAGGAAGCCGCAGCGCATGGCGAAGACGGCTGGGCGAACCAGGGACTCCACGACCAGCGCCTGGCGCTGCAATGGGTCCGTCTCTCCGTCGTTATGCATCACCGCCTCTAACAGCCCCAGGTAAACAAGCACACCCACCTCTTCGGCGACGACGCATCGCGCGTCACAATCGCCGGCGAATCCGCGGGCGCCTGGTCCGTCCAGGCCCATCTCCGCTCCAACCAGCCCCTCTGCCAACGAGGCCTCATGCAATCCACCCCATCATGGTCGATACTCGCGCCCGACGAAGCACAAGCCAGATTCAACGAGGTCGTCGCGCGCGCCGGCGTGCCGGCCTCCGCACCGGGCGCGCAGAAACTCGCCGCGCTCCGCGCAGCCTCCACGGAGGACCTGATGGCGTGGAACAGCCCCGTCACGTCTCCGGCGTGGGATGCGCAATTCTCCGTCGGGCTGGGGCGGTCGCGCGCATGTGCGCCGCTCGACACCCTGCGCGAGACGCTGCCGTTCGCGCCGTGGGTGCAGGGCGTTGTCTGCGGGATTATGCGCGATGAAATGGCCGTCTTCCGGTCCCGATGCTCTGGCGGACCAGGGACGCTGTGGTGCACACGCTACGCTGGGCCTTGGCCCTGCCGTCTGACCCGGCGTTTGCGGGCGATGTGATGGCCGCGTATGGTGTTGAGGATGCGCCGTCCGATGCAGCGGCCGTGCAGGCGTTCGTGGCCATTCTGGCGGACGCGTGCTTCTCCGCCGTCCCTTGGAACCTTGCGGCTCGCGGGATTGACACCGAGGCGACGACGTACCCGCCCGTGTATGTGTACCGCTTTGACCAGCCCGATGTCGAGGAAGGCAGTGAGCTCGAGGGGTAGGCGTACCACGTCCTCGACAACACGTATCTGTGCCGGTACCCGGCTGTTGCGGGGCCTGGGGCGCCGGAATCGTGTCGGAGCACTGCGGACGCGTTTTCGCAGATGGTGCTGCGCCATGTGTATGGTGAGGAGCCGTGGCCTGCGTACGGGGTTGGTGGGGAAAGGCAGATTTTCGATGGGGCGCATACGAGGACGGAGAGCTGGAGGGATGCTGGTGACCAACGGCGCTGGGAGAAGTTCCTCACCAGCCAGGAGCGGAGGACTCGGTTTGCGAGGCTGTTTCGTGATGTTGTGGCTGGGGGGGTTCCGAAGACAAAGAGCGAGTGAGGTTATAAATGCTAGTTATAGTTGCTATGTACAACTACCGAGCCACAGTAGAATGGTATCATGTAGATCGAGGCCTTTTCCTGGTCGTTGCTGTCCAGCAGGGTTCATATACCTCACTCCATGCACCATCCCAAGGCTGCAAGCACTCCATCAACAACACATCCAGGCTAATGAGAACCCAAAGAGGAACCAACTTGGAAGCTGACAACTGCGTGTCGAATGCGAGGAGCCCCGCGGGGCCGCGGAAGCATGGCGTTGAGGGGTCCGTTGCGTGCCCGGCGCTGAAGGTTTGCAGGCGGCCGGGGATGTTGAGGGCCGGTGGGAAGGCGTCGCGCGTTGGAGCGCCGGTGCCGTGGACGATGCGTGTGCCGTTTGGGAGGAGGAAGCCGTGCCCGCGTGTTGCTTTGGATGGCATCTGCATGGTGGATGTGGGCGCTTTTTGTGCTGGGGAGGTATGGGAGAAGGAAGGACTGTAGGGTAGATTCGGTGGGATAAAGCCCGGCCAAGGGTGTACTTATGCTTGAGCCCTGGGTTTTCTGGAACTGGACTCTGTAGCTGTAGGTAGGGTATGGTGCTGTGGTATTCTAAGGTACCCTAACCCTTACTACCATACGTACCCGACTCCCGAGGTGCATATGGGTCAATAGCCCAGCCGCGGGTATGTAACTGGACTTGACTTTGATCGAAATCATCGAACGAGCTCCACCTTATCTTGTGAATTGATTACTCGAAAAATGATCATAAAATCCACTTCGTTGGTAAGTATCCGTTTAATAATGGGTACATACATTGAGCCCCTTTGCACGTGCTACTTACATAGGCATTGGCAGGCCTGCATGACATATATTGAACTGATACCTGAGTTTGGATTTTCTCTTTGAAGCGTTCAATGCTCCCTTCCAACTTGCATGATACGTTCATACGTCTGAGATTCCGTATGCCCTGAATAATCTGTACGCGATTGATATGTACCCCCGCACAAGCAAAAACTACGACACAGCGAATGAGATGAATGGATACTGGGTTAATTTTATCCAGACGTGGAACCCGAATGGGGATGGTTTGGTGCGGTGTCCTGGAGCAGACGAAGCTTGATCACGAGAGGACTATGGAGTTGGGGGTGCGTGGGGGATAATCAGCCTTACAGTGCCGGTCATGGGAAAAATGAGGCTCTGGGATCCCGGGGGCAAGGGGCCTGCTTGTATCTTCGGGGCTTTTTCTCTCTCGTTTGCGCTTTGTTTTGTTTGTGATGGTCTTGTTTTGAGACTCACTGGGCTCTGACCTCCGCCCCAGTCTCAGCATAGAAGGGAAAGTAAAATGCCGTCAGACATCAGATTCAACAGCAACAGTGACAACAGCGGCGCTCAATGACTGCAAGATGATGCGTCGAGTATATGGTGCACCTATTGTCTTGTGGAATGTACCATCACACGTGAACTTTGCAGGTATTTCGCTTTTGCCAGACAGCAGGTTTGAGTAAAGGCAGCATAACCCTCAAGAGCGTGAGACAGCAATCGGTACCTCGTACAAAGCTATCTTTTTGCCATTTAAGTATTTTCATGGCTCTGTTAGACCACGTAACAAGCCTCCCACAGACCCAGCCAGGTATGCTCAGGTAGAATAACAATGGATAGATTGAACGAACGGCTTTGGTGTCCGACCCTTCCGTACCGTAGCGCAACAGCGGAGTGCTAGCCCCAGGCAGCGTTCGTGGCGCTGAGTAACTTCGTTGACTGGTTGGGTTTCCTGTAGATGGTGAGCGGACAAGGTCCAGGATTGTGACGGGAACAGAACGAACTCTCTGCCCAATTAGACGAGGACAGCGTTCCTGCCCAGAGGTGAACTGTCAGAGCCCCGATCCTTCGCGCATCGCGCTTGCCCAACCGGTTAAGCTCCTTCCCCCTCACTGGCGGTGGCGGCAGGGTCAACCCTTCCCTCGAATCTTGTCCTGTAGTTTCTGCGTTCCCTGACTGCTGCAGTTCCTGCCTCAATTCTAGCTTTCTTTGTTTGCTACTTGTACCGCGGCATCGGCATAATATCATTGTCAGCGTTGTTTGTTCCCAAATGGCCACGAGCGGTCCAGCGGCTCCCAGACTGGGACGCGATCAATCAGAGCATCATGCCTCCAGATCTCAATCGACTGCTAGGCGTCGAAATCGAGTCATCACTTCGTGTCTCGAGTGTCGGCGACGGAAGATGAAATGTGACCGGAAAGTACGTGGATGTGTAAGCAATATCCATCCACGGAGGTCGCTGATGACGACAGGAGCCGTGTGACAACTGCACTACGGCAGGCAGACATTGCGAATACGTCAAGGCCGCCAGCAAGGACGAAGGACTGCAACACAAGATCACCGAATTAAAGGAGGCGAAGGATGCATTGGATGCAGGGCTTCTGGCAGCTCAGGCACAGGCTAGCCAACCGCGTAAACGCAGCAAAGCGCGTGGCGCTTCGTCAAGTGACGATGGGAAGGAAGATGATTCCGGCGACGACGTTTACCTCGAACCCAGTCCCTTCGCCGTGGTAGGCGTGGCATATGCCAATGAAAATAAGCCAAGCGATGGGATGGACGACCTGGGGATCCGAATCGGCCGGATGTCGCTCGGGGAGAAGGTCGGGGGCCTGTACCATCCGAGATTCGCCGATGAGGTGCGTCGAGTGTCTCCCGCTCAAGGTCCGGGGTCTGGGTCCGGCCCACGCCGTGGAGGTGCCTCCAAGCCTGCTGCAGGAGATGTTGCGTCTCTGCAGGCACAGCTGACGCCCTCGGAAGCTTTTCTCTTCGGCCATACTACCACGAGTAAGGTGCTCACCGAGTATCTCCCGTCGCGGACCTTGTCCGATCGATTATTGGAGAGGTACTGGTGCGCCGTTCACCCAATAGCGCGAGTTGTCCATCGTCCGTCCTTTCTTGAGCGTTACGAGGCACTGTATGAGTATCTTGAACAAGGCTCGCCGCCGCCTCCATCCTTGATCGCAATCGTCTGTGCTGTCCTCTTCTCAGCCGCAGTGAGCATGTCAGATGCCGATGCAGTGGAAATTGGGATGTCCGGAAACTCGAAGCAGAACCTGCTGGCACAATTCAAAGTTGGCACGGAAGCCGCACTCGGCAGGGCACATCTGATCAGGACCAGCTCGTTGGAGACGTTGCAGGCCTTTGTGGCTTATCTGGTAACTAGACGTCTTTGGCACTTCAAAGCAGGCGTTTGCTGATGGATGTATAGCTCCCATTATGTCTCGGTCAGATGTCTCGAGTCCACACTGTCGTTGCCGGCATGTTGGTTAGATTGGCAGAGTGCCTCGGTCTGCACATTGACCCGGTCGAGTTTGGCTTCAGTCCTGCCGAATGCCAGATTCGAAGACTCATCTGGTATCAAGTCTGCCACATCGACCAAAGTACCAGCTTCGCCCAAGCTCCTCGTCCGTTCATCCACCCAAACGGCTACACCACGCAGCTTCCTCTAGTTATCTCCACTGATGCTCCGGTTTACTGGAACGATATGGTATACACAAATCTCTTTTTCGAGTGTAGAGAGATGGTTCGGCGGAACCAGATGCACCTTCATCGCGTCGACCAACGCAAAATGTCCCTCACCAAAGCAATATCCTTGATCGAAGAGTTCCGGATAGCGATGGACGTCAAATACGGCCCATACATTCATCACGCCACTCCAGGTCCGATGCAGAGAATGACCAGTTTGGTTCTTACCCTACACACCACTCATCTATACGTGATGCAGCTGGCTCGATACTTGGCCAGCGTCAGCTATCGAATGCCCGACCGTCTACGTCAGATCCTTCTGGCCAAGGGGACTGAGCATCTGGAGGTTGCCATGGAGCTGGACTCCGCTCCGGAATTCAAGCAGTGGGCTTGGTACACTCCCGCATTTCACCAATACCATATTGCTGTTCTGTTTATGATTGAAGTAATGCGTTTCCCACGACGACGTGAGGCATCTCGTATCTGGCGGTGCTTGGATTTCATCTACGAGGAGCCGTTATCCACCAGTGCCATTGCTCCATTGGCGGTCCTTAACCCGACGATTGACCAGGTCATCCACCATCGTGATGTCAAAGCTCGATATCTTCTAGGCCTGCTGGCTGATGAAATGGACGTGTACCAAGATACAAAACAGACAAAGGCACCGTCCCACGTGGTGAATGCGCCAGTCGGTATGGCGCCCGAGAGACCAGGGGAGACTCGCGATCCTTCAATGCCACTCAACTCAGCTTATGGCGAACCCACCGCTCCCGAGGCAGAGCAGCCTCGCCAGCCGCATTTCCAGGCCATACCCGGAGTGTCGCAGCCGATCAGCATTCTATCCCAGCCGAGTGACGGAGCCTTTCATGGCAGCTTCCCAGAGATCCTCCCAGCCAATATCACCCCACACGGGTGGTCCTCCTCATCCGGCACCCCATCATGGACCCAGTCTCACTACAGATTCTCCGAGACGACCTCATCTTTGCCCGGTGTTTCGGCTCCACAAGGCTTGTATGGGACTACCCCAGCGACAGACTCAAGTCAGTCCACTTCGCAATACCCTCCGGCCGGTCCCGATGATATATACAACATTGATGTCCAGGAGTTGGAGATCGACTGGGTATGCTGTCCGTTCAATTGCTTAGTCCGCACATGATTAATGATATGACTAGGATCTCTGGGACTCCATGTTCCCGCCGGCTTTCAATGATGGGACTCTCGATATCTCAGTTGGCTTGGAGGAGGGCTGGGCTGGGCTTATTTAGCCGTGCAAGCGTGCTTGTGTGTTTGTCACATCTATTAATAATACCCACATCACAACACCACCTTGAGACAATGAGCATATTTTCATTGTTTAGTCATTATCATTTAGAACTATTAGTTCAAACGGGAGTTCTGCCTTTCCCTATTCCTATTAGCCGGGTATTAATGGCCGTACTAGCATGGATGATTGAATAGGTTGTAAGTTAGCATGATTTTGTTTGCTTAGGTGTAAATGTAATGGCGCTAACAAGACCACGACATAAATAGCAGTATCAATGGCTCATGGTTACTCGCTCATCAGGCACTGTTTAATTTTGTTCCATTTGCGTGGCTTCTATAAATATCGCGAAAATATATATTTTGGCAAAAGGAAAATGCTCCAGCGTGAAAGTTTAAACATCGGTCCTCCCCTGCACCATGGAAGCGTGTACCCACACAGCTTTGATATGGAAGAGTTTCATTACGCACAGACTATTTAAGTCAACCGATATCTCACAGTGTAAAAGTGTTTCCGGCCATTCAATCCATTCTAATGCAATCGACAACCATACCATACAATCATGATCATGTAGCCCTAGTTCAGGGAGACGGCTTGTAACGGGAGATTGGTTAGTGTCCCAAGACCGAGAGGCCCACAAGGAAAACCCGTACTGTCTCCACTGCTGTACGGTAAAGTGAGGAGAGAAAAAATAAAAAAGAATGACCGACGCAGGGCTCGAACCTGCAATCTCCTGATTCGTAGTCAGACGCCTTGCCAATTGGGCCAGCCGGCCTTGCTTGATAAACAGATTTTCATCTTTGTATACATAGAGCAAAACCAATGAGCAGCCCTGGAGTACTCCGTATCGTCACTCTGTGGCTCTCTCCTGTCTTGTCATCCGACACCAACCGATCAGAACTGTTGGAAAACATCCAAATACCTTTGCTCAATAATCCCGTCGTCATAATCCAAGTTTCTAGTTCAGTTACTTATGATGTACATTGTACAGCTTGGCTGAACCGAATTTTCTTTTGTCTTTGCTGCAATTCCAATCCAGCAATCTGTTGATGCCTGATGGTCAAGGCAGCAAAGAGGATCACTCCGCACGGTATTCAACTGAAAGTGTAGGTACTCCTGAAAGTGAATAGAAACGCTGCTGATAGAAGAGAGCTTTCTGGGTAAAATGTGGCTTCAGGCCACTGCTAAGCAAATGTCTTTATGATTGCTTTTGCTTTCTCTGCGTTCCTGGTACTTTGTACATGTGCTGTCTAGGGTCTGGTCTGGCCCACCCCTCCGAACCAACACCAACAAACTCTCATCATGATCTAGGTACGAATACCAATCGCCTCTCGACACCCTTTCTGACGATCAAAACAAACCCTGCAGACATCGGAGTGAATCAACCACTCATACTGAGAGTGATGTATCACATGTGGCTGTGCAACGATCATCAATCCATTCTTGGCCTACGTGATCCTGCTACGTCATGGCCAGCACATCACAGCCTACCTATTTAAGGGACTTCGTTTACCTCGTAATTATTGCTCTTCTGATCATATCACAGCAGAACGCATCTACGACTCTCATCATCCTCGAATAAATCACTAAACATCGCAATATGGGTCTTATGTGGACTAAGCACTGGGGTGGACGGCATGCCGGTGAGTGTTTACCCCAGGGCTCGACCTTGACGTTCCTGAACGCTTCCGTGGTTCCAGAGCGCAAAGGCAAAGCTAACTGTTATGGTTGCGTCAGGCGGCGGCATCGTCGCTGACAGGCATGGTGTTCGACGCGCTCCGTTCCGGATCACTTGTGGTGCCTTTAGCTGCTTCCGCTAGACGACAATGACGATGGCGATGATTTGACGATGTTATGACCGTACGTACCTCGATGCCGGATCGGAGTCTGACTCGAAGCAAAGAAACACATCATTAACATGTCTTTCTCCTCCAGTACATCCTCTACCTCTACATACCTACCTCAGCCCCCTCATCAACTTCGTGCACGAGCGAGTCAGCGATAATCGGAATTGAAACGAAACGAAAGCAAGCCCGAGACTGTCCATTTGAAACAGCTGCTAAATAGGGAAGTGGCTATTTTATTCGGTAGAGCCGGTTGAGTTACGAATACCATTTTAATTTTGCAACATTTCCAATTCGATCGCTGCAGGACTAAAGCCTTATAATAAGGACAATGGATCCATGGGTAGCTGTTTGTACCGCGTAGAGATCATTGCAACGTACTCAATCTCTTAAGTTGGAGAGTGCTCCGGGTACGGCGAGATATGTGAGTCCATCAGAGCAAAAACACTGAAAACAGGCGACGCTTGCTTAGGGGCGCGAAAGGGCAGCAGTGATGAGCACTAGTTACCTTACCTCTATATTCATGGACCTGGTTCTGGATTTGGCACGACAGTAGGTTCATATCTATGCTCCGGATAGATTTACATATTCGTAGCATACTATAGCAATCCGATGATTCGGCGGCAGTAGGCGCTTGGAGATTGGCAGCACGCTCTTCAGCACGAGCAACCGGAGTCCTATCAGTTTCCAAGGTTGGACCGCCGGAGTGCTTGTCCGTATTTACTCTACCGTAGGCTCGTGGGGTTGCGCGGGCTCAACTTCCAAGGGACTGAACCTCCGATCCAATCAATAACCGCCACGCTAGGAAGGCAGTTAATCTCAAGAATATGAGTTCTTTGCGTTTGCCATTCATCTCATCCATTGTATCACTTTTCCCTATCCATCTGTGCCACCTTTTCGCGCGGAAACGTAAGAACATCTCAATTCGATATCCCTAGAATACTCAGATCCGTGCCGGCGGAGGGGGTGTTTTTAGTATAGTGCTAGTATAGCCCTAATATTATATTAATTATAAATATTATTATAATATTATATTAAGATGAAATATAGTACTAATACTATATTTAAATTAATATATCTTATTTTTAAATATATATATTTAGTTTTATAATATAT